CGAGAGCATAATTCCATATTCTTCAACTATGCCTTGATATTGCCGGAGAGACCCAATATGATATTCTTCGCTTGTTGAGAATAACAGAATATCGTCGATGTATATTAAAGCTGTGTGGAGAAGAGGCTTAAATATACGAAGCATCGCTTGCTGAAATAGCGATGGCGCTGTCTTTAATCCGAAAGGTAGAACATTCCATTGGAGATGTCTGTTGGGTAGGCAGAAAGCTGTTTTGTATCTTTCATCAGGATGAACACCAAGCTGCCAGAAACCAGACTTTAAATCAAACTTGGAAAATATGGTGGCTCCTTGTAGGTGTGAAGGAGTGCCTTCTTGTTTGGTAGAGGAAACTTGACGTCTTGTAGATATCGGTTCAGTGGTTTGTAATCAATTACTAGTCTGAGTTTTCCTCTTGCTTGTTCTGCCCGGTTGTTCACATAGAATGCTTTACATGCCCAAGGTGAATTTGTTGATGAAACAACTCCTTGTTTCACTAGTTGGTCACATTCTTCATTTGCTTGTGTCAATAATGTTGGCGGCATGCCTGCATGACTTGCTTTCATCTGCATGCATGGATGAATTCTGAAGCAATCACGTCTCCCTTAGAGCTTGTAATTCCAGCAGTTTACGGAGCACTCAAAGAATGGTGGAATTCACTTGGTGAATACAGACAGCAGCAAGTCTATCAAACGACAATACCGCTACTTCTCGGAGAAATTCATAGAGAATTTAGCGGTACACCTACACATTTGAAAGAACAGCTTCAAGAAGAATTCTTTACGGCGAAATGCTGCTCATTGAAGAAAAGAGACCTAGCTAAGCATTTTGAGCGACAGACGCGACGTTATTACGCTCTTAATGGTCTCAACAATCCAAGCCTTAAGCAGGTGCATCTCTCTTCGATTGATGACTACCTCAGTCAACAAACGAAGCTATACATAAGAGATCAAGGCCAGACAATGGAAGATATTTCCATTGGCTAAATACAGCAATATGTCTTCCGAACACTAGACAAACTCTGCAAGCAAAAGGAATTTTGGATGGAATTCATGGGTAAATCAAAGCAACTATCCAGGATCTGTGCAAGACCAGATCTATCCATCAAATGTTCAAAATCCAAGAAGACATGTTCGTGTGATGATCGTAGCAAATCACGGAGATTCAGAAAAACGTCTCACAAGTGTTTCAACAAGTTCAGACGCAAGCGATTTTTCAGAAAGAAACGAAGCTTCAAGAAAACAACGAAGTGTTTCCTATGTCGCAAAGAAGGTCACTTCGCAAAAAACTGCCCTAACAAGTCGAAGAAAAATAAGCAGTACTTAATCAGCTCAATCTCGAAGATCGCACCAGACCTCGATTTCGACAGCCACGATTTAGAGTCAGTACTATCCTATGATAATGATGAACAAGATGCCATATGTGGATACTCAGATTATGACTACTCATCCGACTCCTCCTCAGGAGAAGAAGAAGTCAATAACGACTGCTGTTTGAAAATCACTCGTATGCCGCAAAAAGAAGAAATTCAAACACCACATCTGCCAGTTACGATATTTGATCCATCACAAAAAGAGAAGCCAGTTCATGCAATTGCGTTCATCAACACAGGAGCATATACGACGATAATGAACCCTAAAATTCTCCCGACTTCTATGTGGCTACCACATCAACAAGAATTTCGAGTGGCAAACTCGGGTTCATTGACGGTCAATCTCAAATCCAAACCTGTGACGATCGAACTTTTCCCAGGCTGTCAGATTACGACAGAAGTGCTTGGATCCTCAGCACCAGGAAAAGATTTGATATTAGGATGGGATTCCTATCACACCTTCAAGAAGAATTTTGATATATCTATTGAGACACGAGAAATGAGATGGAAGGCTTTCTACAAAGCTTTTACAACAATCCCACGTCTATTCACGGTCGAAGGAGTCATATCTCAAGATTTCGAGAAAATCAAAGAAGAGATCGCAATAGTCTCATGTGCAGACTCTCACACAGACTTCCTTCAAAAATGTGACAAACCGTTATGGCTGAATTCATAATTCTTCGTCTCTCTACCTTTCAAGGAAAATGTCCATACCACTCCGACAAAAGCAAGTCACGCAGGCATGCCGCCAACATTATTGACACAAGCAAATGAAGAATGTGACCAACTAGTGAAACAAGGAGTTGTTTCATCAACAAATTCACCTTGGGCATGTAAAGCATTCTATGTGAACAACCGGGCAGAACAAGCAAGAGGAAAACTCAGACTAGTAATTGATTACAAACCACTGAACCGATATCTACAAGACGTCAAGTTTCCTCTACCAAACAAGAAGGCACTCCTTCACACCTACAAAGAGCCACCATATTTTCCAAGTTTGATTTAAAGTCTGGTTTCTGGTAACTTGGTGTTCATCCTGATGAAAGATACAAAACAGCTTTCTGCCTACCCAACAGACATCTCCAATGGAATGTTCTACCTTTCGGATTAAAGACAGCGCCATCGCTATTTCAGCAAGCGATGCTTCGTATATTTAAGCCTCTTCTCCACACGGCTTTAATATACATCGACGATATTCTGTTATTCTCAACAAGCGAAGAATATCATATTGGGTCTCTCCGACAATTTCAAGGCATAGTTGAAGAATATGGAATTATGCTCTCGGCCCGAAAGATGATGATAGCCCAGCCCAACATCGACTTCCTTGGAATGCAAATCACAGAAGGAAAATTCACACCGCAAGCCCATTTAGCTACAACACTCCTCGATTTTCCCGACGAAAATCTCACGCGGAGACAAATCCAACAATTCTTTGGGGTAATTAATTACATCAGCGACTTTATTCCGCAACTTTCGCAAATGACTAGACCACTCCAGAAGATGTTGACAAAGAATCCACCCACGTGGGCTACCAAACAAATCGAAGCAGTCAAAAGCCTAAAAAAGGAGATACAGAAGCTACCACCTTTAAAGATTCCCACTACAGGCCTACAAATACTGCAGACTGACGCAAGTGACAAATATTGGGGAGCCATTTTATTCGAAGAAATAAATGGTAAACGTCAAATCTGTGGATACAAGAGCGGACGCTTTAAAGATTCCGAGATGCATTATCACTCTACATTCAAAGAAATCCTAGCGGTAAAAAAAGGCTATCGAGAAATTCGAGTTTCATCTGATAGGACATAAATTTCGCATCGAAATGGATATGTCTTCTTTTCCAAAGATGTTACAATGCAAGCAAAAGATGGTCCCACATCAACAATTATTGCGATGGAGCGAATGGTTTATGAAGTACGACTTCGAATCCTTCTATTTAAAGGGTGCGAAGAACACTCTTGCTGACATGCTCAGTAGAAACCCTCCTAAAGAAGTTCATATGATGGCAAACGCCTCAGCTTCCTCAAGTTCGGAAAATCAATACTATGACTTCGACGCAAACATGCCTCTCGAAGCTCACAAGCTCGTCGACAAGAGGATTCTACATGAGCATCTTCAACACAGGATTTTCAAATACCAGTCCATCATCCTGTCCAAATACGGAATCAACTGCCATTTCATTGCACCAATGGGTATTCACCCTGATCACCCGTTCGCACATCTCTACAGGATCGAGAATACAGCAATTCCGGAAGAAGTTCTGTGTTTCCTCTGGTACCTCTGCTCAGTCTACACCATCGGAATCACCTTTGATATCCAATGGCTTTACCAGTACGTCAACGCTGTACAAAACCGAAGAGATTGCTTCTCCTCATTCTTAGCATGGTTCGCACCACTGATTGTTTGGAGCAGAAAACTAAGAAAATCGGCAAAAGCAACAAGTCTACCATTCAAGAAACTAAAGAGACAAGGAGGTCTCAATCCGTTCTTCAATCCTCACACAATCTACTTCTTCCATCGTCATGTTCAGATCAACTCCAAATCCAGCAAAATTCATGCATTACCCACTCTTATCCATCACAATGACTATCAGAGAGGAGTTCGTCCAGATTTCAACCTCAGCGACGTTAGAGCTTACGAAGACTTTCAAACACATGCATTCCGTCTCAACAATGCCAGACAGACCTTCCCAATTCCTTTCATTCCAAATTGGTCGTACTATCCGATCGATTACCAGATGAGTCTAGACGAAGACGTTATGTTTTCCATGTCTAAACAAAACATAGAAGACATACCAGTTACTAAGGAGATCAAGAAGGAGAAGGAACCTCCGTCCCAAGACTGTCCACCAGAATATTTCCAGAACGCTTAGCTACCGGATGACGCGATGAATATCGATGAAATTGGAAAAATGTTCAACAATGAAATCAATGAAGAGTCACAGACTGACTACGAAGAGCCTACACCAGGATATGAGTGCCGAGGAGAATACTATGGATGCTGCGACAAACATATCATCGAGTTCGAGATCGACCACTAAAGTACTTATCTTAAAGGTACTTAATTATGTTTAATTATGAGTGTGCTTAAAACCATATAAAATAAATAATGATGTGAGTGTGATGTAAGCGATGATGTAATCGCAAGGGAATGATGTAAGCGCTTATGTCAGCGCGCACTATCTTTCACCTATAAATATATGTGCACCCCCTTGTAAGAAATCACCTCAGAATTTCTAATAAAACCTCTCTCTAGAATTCTCTCTCTAGAATGAGTTTCTAAATACTTTCTAGTTTTCCAGACTTCTCGACATCTTCATAAGCTCTAGCTTCTTTCTTTCATTCATGAGTTGCGATCTGCTCCTCTTCTCTAGTTGAGTCTAATGGTCTGTCAATACGACAGTCAAGTCTTGTGGTCTGTCAATACGATGATCAAAAGACAGTCGTGGGTTGAGAATTTCTAACAGTGGTTGAGCACTCAGAGGCCAGAAGTGCCCGTTAAGCTCCCTTTACTTGGAACTGACCCTCGTCTGTTAAACCGACTTAGTCAATACGACATTCCGCGAGCCTTAGCTTAGTCAATACGACTCTCCGCTAGCCTCTTCTAAAGTATTATGGTAGCAGAGCCTTGGCTAAAAAAGAGTTTTAGACTAATCCATTATGAGATATATTGATCAGAAACAAGACAAAGCTTCTTCTCTCACACATATCAACCAAGTCTAAAGACGAGAAGAAGACCCATCATAATCTTTTTAGCCAAGAGGACATCGTATGATCTAACAAAAGAAGACTCCACACCTTGAATCACAATGTGTTTTTCACTACGAAGACGAAGAAGCTATCTCCATCTTAGTCGATTTGGCGTAGATAGGGTGAAGAACATGACCTCCCTTTGGATCAACATGAATCCATTTGCGTCCAGTGATCTTGTTTTTCTCAAACCTGACTCGTCCTTCCTTCAACGCAAACAATGTATGGTCCTTCCCAATCCCGACATAGTCTCCAGGATGAAACCGAGTTCCACGTTGACGGACGATTATGTTACCAGGTATCACATTCTGTAAAGAACCAGACACATAACACACTTAACTAAGATTGATTTTGATTCTCTAAAAATCCTAATTTACTCGTTCCTTTCTTAGTTACCTCTCCTCCAAACTTCTTGACGCCGAGATTCTTGGGTTTAGAGTCACGACCGTTCTTTGTGGAACCAGCGGTTTTCTTTGTAGCCCAACGCTTCAAGACCAAACTCAAACCACTTGAAGAACCGTCTCAAAACATCCACAAACAAGAACAAGAACACAAATGAGTTAAACTAGAGAAAGATCATCAGATACAAACAGAGATTTCGAAAAAGATTAAAAGAACAGATCGATAGGTGATACATACCGGAAATGCTACTGCCAGTGTAAGCAGGAACCTCGGTGATTAGTTCCCTCAAGCTAACTCTTCTGCAAATGGATGCTGCTGAGTTTAAGAAATTCATTTTTTCTTCAAAATCTGCAAGCAACAAAGAGCACATTATAGATTATAGTAAAAGCAAATACAGAACCATTTCACAGAATCTTTTCTTAAATAAAAACTGGGCATTTTCTCTCAAAATTGAAATCAAAAATCAGAACCTGTTTGACATCGTGTTCAACAATCAATAACTGATCAAACTAAAATAAAATTGATTACATTTCAGATTCGATTCCTCAAGTGAAAAAATATGAAATTGTGTGCGAGAGGAGTGGAGTCAGCACGCAAATACTTAATTCATAAATGACAAACTCATCATCCACTAATCCCATTTTGATTAGAGAAAAGCACAAAAGACGAGATGAATTGTAATGAAAAAATCAACAAATTGAGAAAACCCTTTGGAGTCACCAATGAATATATCAATCACAAGAGCAATGAACAATAATTGGGTTTGACCAACAAAAGAAATTTAAAAAATCCCAATGAAATCCAAGTCCAGAAAGGTTCGATAAATGAAGTAATGATCTTCAGACTTAAAATCGAAAGAGCCAGACTAGTGAGTAGTGAAAGTACCTCAGGTAAAACGTTATACCAACAAATGAGCAAAACCTAGACTTTAGTGACGAAGTAAATCGGAGATTTAGCTCACTGAAAAGAGTACCTAGGTTGACGAGAGAAGACGAAACTTAATCTATCGAGGCACTGTAGCTCAAGAGCTTTTTATGAAGAAGAAGAAAAAAATCGTCGGGTCGGGTTTTTTACGTATTCGGGTCGGATCTGTAAAAGATTTGGGTCGAGTTTTGTGATTCAGAATTTAAAATAGTACTAGATTCTAACTCCGTGCATCCGCACAGAAATATTTTTTATTGTTTAACAAATTTTGTAATATAATTTGTGTTTTTGAGTTTAGATATAATTATTTTTATAAATATATTTTTTAATAAGTGAAAATATTGATTTTTTTGTTTAGATATATTTTTATAGTATTAAAATTAATTATGATTATAAAAATATAACTTTAACCCGTCCGCTAATATTAATTCTAAATGAACTATTATGAAAACATAATTTTAACTTTTCCGTTCATATTACCGTATAATATAAATATTTGTTAAAAGTTTAAGATGTATTAACAGTATTATTTAGCATTATAGTTTTCTAAAATTTAATCAACGAAGGAAGTGTACAACTGGTTTTTCAAAGCATATTTTAGTGCATGCAATAATTTTTAATTTTTTATGTTTTTATTTTGTATGAAAAATATATTTTCGATATACATGTATAATTCAAAATTAGTGATTTTAGTTACCAATATATTTTTAACCCGATTTTTATATATATTTTTTTAGTTCTATAAATTTTAAAAAATATATTTTAATATTTAAATTATACATTTGAATTTTACTTATTATCTTATTATTAATTTGTAAATAAATCATAATCGTAAATATATTATATAAGCAACATAAATATTATATCATTTACATCATTATAAATATTTTATATTTCAAATATGACCATTATTTTTCATATGTGAATTATTTTTTTTTCAAATTCTACATATTTTTGATAAAAATGTTTAATAGTATAGAAAGTATTTAAATTAGAATCTTTAAATCAAATCTAAATTAATATCTGATTTATTATTTTTAATCAAATCAAATCAAATCTAAAACCTATATTTAAGGAAATCTAAAAATATTTAAATTAATAATTAATTATCGAAATTAAATATAAATAATTATTAAAATTATTTTTAAACACTTAAAAAAATTAGGAGTGTTTGAAAGCAAGTATTAAATGTGCCTCTGTTTTAATATAATAGATAGATGAAGCGGGTCCGGTTTAATTATCATATCTCGGATAAGCAATATTTTTTGTAATTTCGAAATTTGACCCCACAATTTACATACTAATAATCTACCCCTTTTCGAAAAATTATATAAACCTACCCCTTTTCGATTATAACATAATCTTCGAAAAAAATAAGAGAAGAACTGTTATTTTTTTCTTCCTCGTTTTTTCCAACCCGCTTCTAGGGTTACTCTCTCGCTTCCTCCTGTTCTTTGTTTTGCCGATTTGCGTGAGCATTAAGCTTCACATACCTTGAATTTGAGTGCGGTGGGACAAAAAAAATAGTTGAGCGAAGATGAGGATTATGATTAAGGGAGGTGTGTGGAAGAACACCGAAGATGAGATCCTCAAGGCCGCCGTGATGAAGTATGGTAAGAACCAGTGGGCTCGGATCTCGTCTCATCTCGTTCGAAAGTCGGCCAAACAGTGTAAAGCTCGCTGGTACGAATGGCTCGATCCTTCTATCAAAAAGACTGAATGGACCAAAGAAGAAGACGAGAAGCTTCTACATCTTGCAAAACTTTTGCCTACTCAATGGAGAACTATTGCTCCTATTGTGGGCCGTACTCCATCTCAATGCCTTGAGAGGTACGAAAAGCTTCTTGATGCAGCATGCACTAAGGACGAGAATTATGAAGCAGCGGATGATGATCCACGGAAATTACGTTCTGGTGAGATTGATCCAAACACGGAATCAAAGCCTGCTCGTCCTGATCCAGTGGACATGGACGAATATGAGAAAGAGATGCTTTGTGAAGCGAGAGCTAGATTGGCTAACACTAGGGGAAAGAAGGCTAAAAGAAAAGCTAGAGAAGAACAACTTGAGGAAGCTACAAGGCTTGCTTCTCTGCAAAAGCGAAGAGAATTAAAAGCGGCTGGAATTGATGGAAGGCATAGGAAAAGGAAGCGAAAGGGAATCAACTATAATGCAAGAATTCCTTTTGAAAAGAGGGCACCTGTGGGATTTTATGACACTGCAGATGAAGATCATCGTCCTGCTGACCAAGTAAAATTTCCAACTACCATTGAACAACTTGAAGGAAAAAGAAGGGCTGATGTGGAGGCACAGTTACGTAAACAAGATGTTGCAAGGAACAAAATTGCTCAGAGACAGGATGCTTCAGCAGCTATACTGCAAGCCAACAAGTTGAATGATCCTGAAGTTGTTAGGAAGAGGTCAAAGCTAATGTTACCACCACCTCAGATATCAGACCACGAGCTAGAGGAAATTGCAAAGATGGGTTACGCCAGTGACCTTCTTGCGGAGAATGAGGAGCTAACAGAAGGCAGTGCTGCTACTCGTGCGCTTTTGGCAAATTACTCACAGACACCCATGAGGACACCACAAAGAACTCCTGCTGGTAAAGGTGATGCTATTATGATGGAAGCAGAAAATCTGGCTCGATTAAGAGACTCTCAGCGACGAGAGGAAGCTAGAAGGAGCTTACGCTCTGGTCTGACTGGGCTTCCTCAGGCAAAGAACGAGTACCAAATAGTTGCACAACCTCCTCCAGAGGAAAGTGAAGAGCCAGAAGAGAAAATTGAGGAAGACATGTCAGACAGGATAGCTAGGGAAAAGGCTGAGGAGGAAGCAAGACACCAGGCGTTTCCTCAAGTGTAAGCAGGAATTGATAGGTCCCAAAGACTTTTGAACAAGTTTTCTCAATTTTCTACTTTGATTACATCTCTTACGATGCCTATAAATACTAATAGAAATAAAGAAATTAACTACTAAATCTACAACTAAGAAACGTGAAAAAGTGGGGATATAAACCCATTAATTTAGGAGCACTAACAAGACCACATCTATTCTCTATATTTGACCTAGTCAACACCGGTTTACTTGGTTACGTTCTCATCAAGGAACCTCGGTGACTAGTTCCCCTCAAACTAACTCTTCTACAAATGGATGCTGCTGAGTTTAAGAGATTCATTTTTTTTTTTTCTTTCCAAAATCTGCAAGCAACAAAGAGCACATTTTAGATTATAGCAAAAGCCAGTACAGAACCATTTCATATAACCTTTTCTTAAATAAAAAATGGGCATTTTCTCTCCAAAATCGAAATCACAAAACAGAACTTGTTTGACATCGTGTTCAACAATCAATTTTTGATCAAACTACCTCAGATTCGATTCCTCAAGTGCAAAAACATCCATTATGAAATTATGTGCGAGAGAAGTGGAGTCAGCACGCAAATTCAAAAATGACAAACTCATCATCCACTAATCCAATTTTGATCAGAGAAAAGCACAAATGACGAGATGACTTGTAATGAACAAAATCAACAAATTGAGAATCTTGGAGTCACCAATGCAATGAATATATCATCACAAGAGCAATGAACAATAATTGGGTTTGAAAAAAGGGAAATCTAAAAATCCCAATGAAAATCGAAGTCTATAATGGTTCAATAGATGAAGTAATAATCCTCAGACTTAAAATCGAAAACCCAAGACGAGAGAACTCATCGGAAACGTACCTCAGGTAAAACGTTAAACCAACAAATGAGCAACAAACAAGAAGAAGAAAAACAATCGTCGGGTCGGGTTTTTTCGGTTTTCGGGTCGGATCTTTAAAAGATTTGGGTCGGGATTTGTGATTGGGTCCGAATTTTAATTTGTTCCTCGCATTAATTGTGGGCCTAATTGTTTCGAGATATGATAACTAAGTCGGGGCCGGTTTAGTTATCATATCTCGGATTTGCAATATTTTTTTTGTAATTTCGAAATTTTGACCCCACAATTAACATATTTTATACTAATAATCTACCCTTTTCAAAAAATTATAAAACTACAAACTTACATATCGATGACAAAAAATCTAAAAACCGTTAAAAAGAGTTAAGAGTTTAGACTAAATCCATGATGAGATAATGATAAACAAGGTCAAGCTTCTTCTCCTTACACCTATCAACCTAAAGAAGTCTAAGACAGAAGAAGACCCAAAAGCGGTTTTACAATTGTTACAAGAGGGTATTAGTGGTTCAAAAGGTAGATGCAATTTTATGACTTTACAAATCATCTTTATAAACATACTTCAAGGCTCTGATCATTAGGGAGGCTGCGGCGTCTTGTGATATATTTTTCCTTTTCCTTCTCTCTCCCATAATGGATAAGGTTTCTTCTTCACCTGTAGTCTCAATCGAAACTGAACAAGCATATCCCTGATTGTTTCTATTCCAGACCCTGAAAAGAGTTAAAACACAGTAATGTAACACACACACACAAAATGTTCTCAAGTCCGAATTCGTGCTTACTGCTAAAACAAAACAACCAAACTCAAAGATTTACAACACTCTAGCCTACTCAAAGATAGAATCAATTTTTACTTAGAAAGCAAAGCAAAGACATTTTGACACTTTTGCCTAATCCAAAAGCAAAGCAAGACATAAGGTTGTTGACATCTCAAGTGGTATGGTGTAATGCTTTCATAGGACTAAAGACATACTTGTAAGTCGGGCAGGGCCATTTTCTCTTCTTGCAAATCTCAATCAGCTTCTTTCTGGCATCGTCAATATCAATGTCTAGATTATCGTCATCCATAACCATTTCAATGACCATACTCTCTGACAATTTCGATAACGCGTCCCTAGCAGCGGCCAGCTTTGCTTGTTTTGCGGTCGGTTTAGGTACCCCACCAGCTATGAATTCATCATCAAGATACACAGCAACCTTAAACAATCCGTCTGCACCTTGACTTTGCCTGATTTGGACCCGCTTCCCGTATTTCTCAGCTATACGATACAGCGTAGCGATTATCTGAGGTTGCCTCCGCATATCATCGAATGTGTATATTGGCTCGAAAATACCCCTGCAGATCTGCAAATTCCCTCTTTTTTAAGTAAAAAGAAAGCTCAAGAATCACTCATAAGCAACTCTTTTTAAGTAAAAAGAAACTCTTTTTAAGTAAAAAGAAAGGTCAAGAATCACTCATAAGCAACTCTTTTTAAGTAAAAAAGAAAGCCCAAGCATCACTCATAAGCAACTCTTTTTAAGTAAAAAAGAAAGCTCAAGAATCACTCATAAGCAACTCTTTTATAGTAAAGAAAAGCTCAAGAATCACTCATAAGCAATCTAGTGAGGAAGACGAAAGCTCAAGAATCATTCATAAGCAATGTAGTGAGGAAGAAAACAAACAGACCTCCCAGAGTCTTCGTACATCATAATTCACATCAATGTAAACAGCTCCAGCTACAGACTCTACAATGTCACCGAGAATTGCTGGGGTGGCTTTAACGATTCTACTTCTACCTAACGCATAAGGACCTGGATCATCTTCTTTGCGCACAGCCTCTGTGAAGTTTTTAACCTAAATTGAAAACCACAAAATTGAGCTCTGTTTCTAAGCTTTTTCAATTTTTTCGAAACGGAAGCTAATTTTTTTTTTTTACCCTTGTAGCTGTGTGTGTGTCAACATCGCCAATAATGAACTGGAAGAGGCCGTGATTGACGGCGGCGCGAGCGAACTTCTCGCCGTTTACATTTGAAGATCGCAGATCAGTCAATTCCTTGGGTTCTAGGTTAGGGTACGCGAGAAAGAGGTGATTCGTGAAGGCCTGAGCAAGAGCTGCTTCGCCGAGGAACTGAACCCGAGCGGTTTCAGGCTTTTCACGACTGAACAGTAGCGCGTCCTTGAGAAGGCTCTTGTTCGAGAAACTGTATTTCAATATCTTCTCCACTGCTTCCACGGGATCAATCTTCGGAATCTTTTCCACAGGATCCATCTCCGGCCAATGCGGGACGACTGAGCTTGAAAGCCGGCGTCGAAGAGAGAAGAAGATTAGGTCACACAAGATGAACAAGCCCTACATACAGTATTTTTAGCGTCTATGTAAATGTAGTAATTTTTTTTATTTTTCAAACATATAAATGTAGGAATTTTTAATTATTAAACACGTACATGTAGTAATTTTAAATTATTAAACTAGATTTTAATCTCGTGCGTCCGCACGGGAATGTTTTATTTTTTATTTATAATATAAGTTGCATTTATTTTTTTTGTTTAGATATAATTTAATTTTGTTATTTATTTTTTTAAATCAAAAAATTGTTATCATATTTTAATTTTAAACAGTAAAATTTGTATATTAGTAGAATAAAAGTGTACGTTAATTAAGTATATATTGATCTAATGTTAATTATAAACTTTGTTATTATGTGAATTTAGATTCACACATAAACAATCTATATATCTATGAATTTGCTAATCCATCCGTTTAGTTGTCTTAAATCATTTTTAATATCTTACATGTTTTGACAAACTAACCCGTATAAGACTATAATTATAATTGTATAACCCTATAAATATTTACTAATATGGAATATTTGGACCAATTGATTATGAAAAAATATAATAAGATATTTATTTACTATTTGTGCTATTAAAAAAATGTTATATATATAAACAGACTAACCTGTTAATTTAATTGTCTCAAATCATCTTAATATCTTACATGTTTTAATAAATTAACTCATGGACCTTAAATATATATATATATATAACTCTAATCAGCTCGATCATATTATTGTATAATATAAGTATTTATTAATCTCAAATATTTGATATTTTAGACCGATTGTTTATGATAAAATACGATAAAATATTTATTTACTATGCATTTTTATAAAAATATTATTTAAATTTAAAATTTTAAATTAAATCTTTCTTGTATTAAAGAAATTCTAAAGTATTAAAATTATTATCTAAATTTTCGTAATAAAATTTAATTATAATTTTTTTTGAATTTTTTGAATTTAAATTAAATTGAATGCAAATTTTTGTAACTAAATTTAATTAAATTTCTAATAATTTGAAATTTAAATTAAAGATGACATAGATTTTAGGAAATCTAAAAATATCTAAATTAATAACTAATTTTTGGAAATTAAATATAAAAATAAAATAAAATATTTTAAAAAAATTTGGGAGTGTTTGGATGCAAGTACTAAATGTGCTTCTGTTTTAATAGAATAGACTAGATTTTAATCCCGTGCGTCTGCACGAGAATGTTTGATTTTTTATTTCTAATATAAGTTGCATTTATCTTTTTTGTTTAGATATAATTTATTTTTTTTATTTATTTTTTTAAATCAAAAAATTGTTATCATATTTGAATTTTAAACAGTAAAATTTGTATATTAGTAGAATAAGACTATACGTTAATTAAGTATACATTGATCTAATGTTAATTATAAACTTTGTTATTATGTGAATTTAGATTTACACATAAACAATCTATATATCTATGAATTTGCTAATCCATCCGTTTAGTTGTCTTAAATCATTTTTAATATTTTACATGTTTTGACAAACTAATCCGTATAAGACTATAATTATAATTGTATAACCCTATAAATATTTACTAATATAGAATATTTGGACCAATTGATTATGAAAAAATATAATAAGATATTTATTTACTATTAATGCTATTAAATATATATATATATATATATATATACGAGCTAACCTGTTAGTTTAATTGTCTCAAATCATCTTAATATCTTACATGTTTTATTAAATTAACTTATGGACCTTATATATATATATAACTATAATCAGCTCGATCATATTATTGTATAATATAAATATTTATTAATCGCAAATATTTAATATTTTAGACCGATTGTTTAGGATAAAATACGATAAAATATTTATTTACTATGCATTTTTATAGAAATATTATTTAAATTTTAAATTTTAAATTAAATCTTTCCTGTATTTAAGAAATTCTAAAGTATTAAAATTATTATCTAAATTTTCGTAATAAAATTTTATTATATTTTTTTTGAATTTTTTTGAAATTAAATTAAATTGAATACAAATTTTTGTAAATAAATTTAATTAAATTTCTAATAATTTGAAATTTAAATTAAAGGTGACCTAGATTTTAGGAAATCTAAAAATATTTAAATTAATAACTAATTTTTGGAAATTAAATATAAAAATAAAATAAAATATTTTAAAAAAATTTGGGAGTATTTGGATGCAAGTACTAAATGTGCTTCTGTTTTAATAGAATAGACTAGATTTTAATCCTGTGCGTCTGCACGAGAATGTTTGATTTTTTATTTCTAATATAAGTTGCATTTATCTTTTTTGTTTAGATATAATTTATTTTTTTTATTTATTTTTTTAAATCAAAAAATTGTTATCATATTTGAATTTTAAACAGTAAAATTTGTATATTAGTAGAATAAGACTATACGTTAATTAAGTATACATTGATCTAATGTTAATTATAAACTTTGTTATTATGTGAATTTAGATTTGCACATAAACAATCTATATATCTATGAATTTGCTAATCCATCCGTTTAGTTGTCTTAAATCATTTTTAATATTTTACATGTTTTGACAAACTAATCCGTATAAAACTATAATTATAATTGTATAACCCTATAAATATTTACTAATATAGAATATTTTGACCAATTGATTATGAAAACATATAATAAGATATTTATTTACTATTAGTGCTATTAAATATATATATATATATATATATATATATATATATATACGAGCTAACCTGTTAGTTTAATTGTCTCAAATCATCTTAATATCTTACATGTTTTAATAAATTAACTTATGGACCTTATATATATATATATATATATATAACTGTAATCAGCTCGATCATATTATTGTATAATATAAATATTTATTAATCGCAAATATTTAATATTTTAGACCGATGGTTTAGGATAAAATACGATAAAATATTTATTTACTATGCATTTTTATAGAAATATTATTTAAATTTTAAATTTTAAATTAAATCTTTCCTGTATTTAAGAAATTCTAAAGTATTAAAATTATTATCTAAATTTTTGTAATAAAATTTTATTATATTTTTTTTGAATTTTTTTGAATTTAAATTAAATTGAATACAAATTTTTGTAAATAAATTTAATTAAATTTCTAATAATTTGAAATTTAAATTAAAGGTGACCTAGATTTTAGGAAATCTAAAAATATTTAAATTAATAACTAATTTTCGGAAATTAAATATAAAAATAAAATAAAATATTATAAAAAAAATTTGGAAGTGTTTGGATGCAAGCACTAAATGTGCTTCTGTTTTAATAGAATAGATGTAGGAATTTTTAATATTTAAACACAGAAATGTAGTAATTTTTAAATTTTAAACACGTAAATGTAGTAATTTTTAATTTCTGAACACGTAAATGTAGTATTTTCTCTCTTATCTTTTTGTGTGAACAATGTACTAATTTTTATTTTTTTAAACACGTAAAGAAATGCATTTATTTTTCTAAAAAACATATATATATTGATGTTAAATAAACTACAACTTACAACAAACATTTATACCCAAAAAGGTACATTTCCAAAAGATTAAAACAAAAAGTTTAAATCACCTCTCTTCGCTTTCTCTTCTTCTTCCTCTTCTTCTCCTCTGAACAACTCGGCGTTTGCGGATTCTTCTTCTCCTCTAAAGTTTCCTGCATTTCCAGACTCCTTATGACAAGACTCATTAGGGAAGATCTCAAGGCTCTTATCATGTGGTAGGCTGAGGAGTTTTCTGCTTCTTTTTTCCTTGGTTTTTCGTCTCCCTTCATGTGAAACGTACCTTCAATAGCTGGGATCTCAATCTTAACTGAACATACAAATCCCTTCTCTTGCGTCCCTCCTCCTTCCTCACAACTGTAATTAAACACAGTAACAAAACGTTTTAAGAAAAATATTGCGCATTCGTGCTTATTGAGGCACACAAAGTAAAAACACCAAAGAATCATAGTATAGTTTTCCAAAGCATATACGCTTTCTCTACTTCTTTAACTACGGACTAGCAAATGTCGTCTACTACTTAGTAACAAGACTCTAGACTATTCAAAGATATAATTTTGACTTTTGATCATGGTCCTTGTTAAGCACTAAGTATGCTTCTAGATAAGTAAGAAATGTACCTGTAAATCGGCTTTGGCCACTTTTTCTTCATGCAAATTTGATGCAACTTACTTTTCGCATGCTCAGGTTCAACCTCTAGACTATCCTCATCAATAGATATCTGTTTCTGAGTCATTTCATAGGTTAAGGGGTTCTCAGAGACAGTGGGCAAAGATGATGATCCAGTCTGTATTTGGAGCTTTCTAGTAGAGCAAATCTCTAACAACTTCTCTTTCGCGTCTTCATTATCGACCTCTACACTATCCTTATCAACAACCATTTGTTTTTGCGTCATTTCAGAGGATAAAGGACTCTCCGAGACACTGGGCAAAGAAGATGATCCAGTCTGTATCTGGAGCTTTTCAGTGGAGCAGATCTCAAACAACTTCCTCTTTGCATCTTCAGGTTCAGCCAGTAGACTATTCTTATCAACAACCGTTTGCTTTTGTGTCGTTTCAGAGGTTAAAGGGTTCTCAGACACAGTGGGCAAAGAAGACAATCCAGTCTGCATCTGGAGCTTTTTAGAGGAGTAGATCTCAGACACATGTCGTCTATCTTCATCAGTAACTGTCTGATTTGGTGTCATTTCATAGAGTAAAGGATTCTCAGAGGTGGTGGGCAAAGAGGACGACTCTATCTGAAGCTTATCAGTGGAGCAAATCTCAGACAACTTCCGTTTCGCATCTTCAACTTGAGCGTCTACACTATCCTCAATAACAACCACCTTATCAGTGGGCTTACATTCTGACAACTTCTTTAACGCTTCCTTAGCAGCCAACAGCTTTGCCATATATTTAACATGAGAGTGCCCAGAAGCTATACATGTATCATCAAGAAATACCTGAGCAGTAAAGTTATTGGAGGAAGGACCATTACAACACCTGATGTCGACTCGCTTCCCGAGTTCATCACCCAAACGAGTAAGCATAATAATTGGTTGATGTTGCTGCCGCAAATCATCCAGAGAATACATTGGCTCGAAAAGACCCCTGCAGATCTGCAAATACCCTTTTAGATTCTTGAGAATCCATAAAAAAAAAAAAGACAAGACCACATCTAGTAGAACACAGACCTCCCAGAGTCTTTGTATATCAAAATTCACATCAACATAAACAGCTCCAGCTATGGACTCCACCATGTCAGCGAGAGACTTCGGGGCTTTCACAGCTCCACCATAGTTTCCCTGAAACGAAACTGGATCATCTTCTTTGGCCACAGCCTCTGAGAACTCTTTCACCTTTAAGAGAATGACACCAAAAATCAAAACCATGAACATCATAATAAGAACATGTTCTTCAATCATTCAATCAGAACATGTTCTACAATCATTCAACATAACCCAATTCTCTCTATAGCTTTCACTCATCGAATCACTCTGTTCCAACAAAAACGCTTCTAAATGATGCAAAAACAAAGAGATTGATTTGATTATTACCCTTTCACAGAAGGAAGGTTTTACACCTTTGCATATACGGAATTGGTAGAGGCCGTATTTGACGGCGACACGAGCCAATTTCTCGTTACATACATTTATGACTCGAAGCTCACGCAGAACCTTGACGTTTTCGTTAGGGTACTTGAGGTGGAAGTAGTTTGTGAAGGCGAGACCAAGAACAGAGTCGCCGAGGAACTCAAGCCGCTGGAATAAAGGAGACTGAAAACTACTTTTAGGAGGGGTGATCGTTATCGCTTCTTCTAGGAGTCTCTTGTTCTGGAAACTGTAATTCAAAATCTTCTCCACCGCTTCCACTGATTCCATCTCCGGCCAAAGCTGATGGCGGCGCCGAAGAGACTGCACTGAGATTAGGTCACCACAAGCAGGACCGGTCGTGAAAGAAGGATAATCTTCCTTTTAATTTGGACTTTGAAGTTTGGGTGATAAAGCAAAACGTGAAAGGATATAAGGGACTAAAAGGGAAATACTATGAAATACTGTAAGTAAAATAATAAAGTATTTAAAACCCTTTTATTACACGTTTATCTTCTTCCTTCGCCGTCTCTTGAACCTTCACTAAACCCCTCGACTGTGAATATCTACACTCGGCCATCGATTCTCGCCGCCGGTGAGTTCTTCCGTCGTTTCTCCGCCAACGGTGTCTTCCTTACGTTGCTTCATCGGATTAGGGTTTTAATTATATTATTTCTCCATGGATTTCAGATAACTGAGAGCTGAAATTGCAAGTTAAGAGTGATGGGACTCGATCGCGAGGATCTAGAGTAAGTTCTTCATCGATTTTAGATTTCAATTAAACTATTTCTCGGATTCAGACATTCATCCGATGTTTACTCTTTGTATTGAAACAGTTTGATCAACGATGACCATTTCGTCGACAGGCAAAAGCTTTCAGCTCCTATAAAGTCTACAGCAGATAAATTCCAGCTCGTTCCCGAGTTCTTGAAGGTACATACACAGAACACTAATCTTGATTTTTGCCTTATACAAGTACCCTGTATCTGTGCAGTCTTGGTGGAGAAGGCAATTCATACTCGACTCTGTAATTTTCTTGCTTTGTAGGTGAGAGGACTTGTGAAACAACACCTTGATTCGTTCAATTACTTCGTCAATGTCGGGATTAAAAAGATTGTCCGTGCTAATTCTCTTATTACATCCTCTCTGGATCCAGAAATTTACCTGAGGTCAAACTTTCTTATCATCTTTCTAATCGTATCTGACAGTGAGAATATTGATATAGGAAAAATAGAATAGTTGGTGGCTTTACATTACTTTTCTAAGTCACTCCTACAACATCTATTTGGAAAATTGAGATTGTGCTTTTTGTTGGATTTCTGCTCTTTAAAGAGCTAACCTTTTCGGAGCCTTTTTTTTTTAATGCAGGTTTAAGGAAGTCAGAGTTGGTGAACCCTCGATTTTAAACGTTAATATGGCGGAAGAAATCAATCCGCACATGTGCCGATTAGCAGACATGACGTAAAGATTTCTTCTATTTGCATTCTGCAATTACTTTCTTCATCTCATGGCTGTTTTACATGCATTATAACGTCTTTGTGTTTTAAATATCAGATATGCTGCTCCCATATATGTCAATATAGAATATGCTCATGGAAGTCATGGGAAGACGCAACATAGTGCAAAGGTAAATGAACAATATAATGTATTATACATATTGCTTTTTATCAACAAACGACTCAGGCTGAATACGATGTTCCTTTATTTCAGGATAACGTTATTATCGGAAGGATGCCTATTATGTTGCGGAGTTGCCGATGTGTATTACATGGAAAAGATGAAGAGGAACTTGCAAGATTGGGTTGGTATTGCACCCTTATTTCAAGCATTGCTTCTTCTTGTTCATCACATTTATTGTGTTCCATTTTGTATTCCAGGTGAGTGCCCTCTTGATCCTGGAGGATATTTTGTCATCAAAGGAACTGAGAAGGTGATAACTTCATGGTTCTTGTAAATAATCTTCTCTCAGCTATCTTATGCAGTCTATTGATTGGCTACTTGTCTGCACTTTGACTTTGGGATATATGATGTGTATTATTCCATCTCTTTTTTTTGTTCAATAAAGTTATTGATTGTTTTGGCGTTTGCTATCCATTTTAGGTCTTGTTGATACAAGAACAACTTTCGAAGAACAGAATTATTATTGATTCTGATAAAAAGGGGAAGTAAGTGATCTCTTCCATTATTTCAGTCCTTGTAGTATTGATGACGAGCATCCCCATTATTATCATCACGAAATAGTTTTCTTCATCAGTGTTTTTCCATTATTTACCCACCCCCTTATCCACATACAAGATCGCTATATGCTGATTCTCTCTTCTTTTACTGCTTATTTTCAGCATAAATGCATCTGTCACAAGCAGCACTGAAATGACGAAAAGCAAAACAGTTATTCAGATGGAGAAGGGGAAGATATATTTATTTCTCCATCAATTTGTAAAAAAGGTATGCATATATTATCAGGTCCTTGTCTATAACTGTAGATCTTTCAGGGTTGGACTTAATTGGCTGAGCATGTGATTTTGTCATAGATTCCAATAATAATTGTCCTAAAAGCTATGGGAATGGAAAGCGACCAAGAGATTGTACAAATGGTTGGAAGGGATCCCCGTTTTAGCGCATCACTCTTACCTTCTATTGAGGCAAGTATTACAGCTCTTAACCTTGTGTCTAGTTTTTTGGCCTTTTTGTATTGATGTTGGTGTTTGTGTTATGTTTTCAAGTTAATATAAAACTGGTTCTAGAAGCAGCTGGCTAGTTCCTGGATGTAAATGTTTATTCTAGGAATTTTTTAATCTATATCATTTCGGAAAATAAACTAGGAAGCACTGATCCTTGTGTGGTTGTCCTCACAATATAGTGAGAAAATTACCTGTCGAAGTTTAAAGTTGAACTCCCAATACTGAAAGGGTCCCAATAAAGAAGTCATAATACATTAATAATAATATTGGTATTGTCGAATCTGAATGTGCTTATGAGCAACATTTGCTGTTGGTGCTGCAGAAAGATATAGTAGCCACTGATATGGCTCTTAGGATTGAAGTTTTTTGCTTTGACATCGGAAAGTAGATCTTTCTTCCTCGTGCTCTATCTATTTGAAAGTTATAGGTAATGTGTGACTATCATCAGTTGCCTCGTGGCTCACATAAAACCTGCTCTGAGAAACCAATTGCTTAGCTAAATCTTTTTGTTGAATCGAAAAGTTAATGCATTTCTTTTTCTGCCATGTCATTTTGTTCAACCTGTGGGTTATGATGAGCCTTGATCTCTGAAGCATCATATTTATCCCTCGGAATGCTTATTTAATTTCAGGAGTGTGTTAGTGAAGGTGTGAATACACGAAAACAAGCACTGGACTATCTCGAGGCAAAGGTGCTATGTTTTATTTATCGTATAGAGTTATTTTTAAGTTTATGTTCATTCTAGTGGGCACATATGTGTAGAAAACAGAAAAGATATTACTGCCCTGTTGAAATTGAGCTCTTTAAAGTGTTAAACGGATTATAGCTCATCTCTCTCTCTCTGCTGAAAGGAAATCCGCCATAGACTTTATGGTGGTATAAGTAGTTGATTCCACCTTATTTTGTGATGTAACGTATATTCCATGCTGTTGTTTTCATTACGAAATGAACACACTGAAGAAAAGAGTAAACTATAAGGTTATGTTAGTTTAGCAATAGATTCTTATTTTATCAATTTGCGGCAAGAAATTGTGACGTATTCTTTTATTTGTTAATTTCTGTAGGTTAAAAAAACATCATATGGACCTCCACCTGAAAAGGTTTTTTATTCTTTCCTCCACTTTCACACACTAATTCAACTTTTTACAGAATATGTTCTTGGCCTGCAAATTTGAATATGAAAGTTTTTGTGCTAAGTGAAACTTTCACATTGTATATGTACATGGTTTACTAGGATGGAAGAGCTCTATACATTCTCAGAGATGTATTCCTTGCACACGTACCTGTAAGTATCTCAACTTCTTTGCTTCTTAAATGTTTTAGTCTTTGCTAACTGCTATACTCTTCCTTTAAGGTGCGTGACAACAATTTTCGCCAAAAATGTTTCTATGTTGGGGTGATGTTGAGACGAATGATTGAAGCAATGTTAAACAAAGATGCCATGGATGACAAGGTAATACCATAACCCTTCTAATAGCATTATTGCTGGATGACATGTTAAATTACCTAAAACTGACAAATTAACCATCCTTCAGAAGAGCCATTATTATTTAAGAGTTGACGTAATGATGATGGCTTACTTATTAGTCGATGATCTGAGATAACTTAAGGCTGATCTGGAGACAAGTCTTATTATAAATGTGTGTCTTCTTGTAGGATTATGTTGGTAACAAGCGGTTGGAGTTATCTGGACAACTAATATCTCTTCTCTTTGAGGTGACGCTGGAACATATCACCAGATGCAGTACTCTCTCTTCCTTTTTCTTATACTATTTTCCTCTCTCTCTCGCTGCTACAGGATTTGTTCAAAACGATGATCACTGAGGCCGTTAAAAAAGTAGATGGTATTCTTCAAAAACCTAACCGGGCAAGCCGATTTGATTTCTCACAAGTAAGTGTAGAAATATACTGCCCTGCTAATTCAGGTCTTGCATTTCATTTCTTTAAACCATAAAAACATTAGCCTTAGACACCTCCTTTCATTTGAATTTGTAAATGATCGTCAGTCATATGCATAAAGTTTGGGTCATGCTTTAAGATTTTTATTATTTGTTCATCACGTAGCTATGAACCGGTCTTCTTTCATGGTTCTTGATGTAATTAAAAAATATTACTTTTTGCAACATTATTAGTTATTAGTTAAGGCGTTATTATGCTGACTTGCAATTGCATTATAAATTTACATCTCCCTTGGATATTCCATTGCAACTTGAATTGCTACAATTAAAATATTTGGCCTTGGGATAACATGGATGGAGTCGATTTTCAGAAATAGTTACTTTAGTGAAAGAATTGATAGAAGAATCATACTATTTCTTTTGTGATTTGCTTGTAGTGTCTTACTGGAGAGAAGAATCATAATATTTCTTTTGGATTAGAAAGAACCCTTTCAACGGGTAACTTCGATATTAAAAGGTTCAGAATGCATAGGAAAGGAATGACACAGGCCAGTCTCACTCTTTCTATGTACTATATCTTTGTGTATGTCTCTAGCCTCCTCCATGCTACATTACTCTTAAAGAATTCTTTTTATTTTAGGTCTTAACAAGGTTATCTTTTATCGGGAGTTTGGGGTTTATTACGAAAATTTCGCCACAATTTGAAAAGTCCAGAAAAGTAAGTGGGCCTAGATCTTTGCAACCCAGCCAGGTAACGATGCTGTCTTTAACTGCCTGCTAAAATTTTGTAAAGAGAACAACTGCTTTTCTTTGAACTTCCATTTAATCTAATATTTGGCATTGTGATTTGCTCTACAAGTGGGGCATGCTTTGCCCATGTGATACCCCAGAAGGTGAATCTTGTGGGCTTGTCAAGAACTTGGCTTTAATGACTCATGTCACAACGGATGAAGAGGAAGGCCCGTTGGTTGCTATGGTATGTGGTTGCTAATTTATTCCACGTTTAGTCAATTCAATCGCATTAATCGTCTTTGCTATGGCTTTGAGAAGTATACCTCCGGAACCACAATACTCTCTCATCATTAGCTTCGGCTAGTCATCTGTTTTTTAGATGGAGTTTTGTCAATTATGTACTGAATCTGTGTGTTTTAATTGATTTTCCGGAAACAGTGCTACAAATTGGGTGTCACAGATTTGGAAGTATTATCAGCAGAGGAGCTGCATACTCCAGACTCATTTTTGGTCATATTCAATGGGCTAATACTTGGCAAACATAGAAGGCCTCAGGTACTTTATATAAAGACACGGATCTGCAAAATGTAATACACATCTTTACACCTCTTAACTAGTTTCTATTGTTTTAGTACTTCGCCAATTCACTTAGAAGGCTGCGTAGAGCTGGGAAAATTGGCGAGTTCGTCAGCGTGTTCATAAATGAAAAGCAGGTATTAGCTTTATATTTTGGTAATATTTATTGATATATAGCTTGGAATGAAGATTAAGATCTCTGAATTGAAAATAGACCAAGGAAGCTACAGATTTTCTTTTTTTTTTTGCAAACTCTTCAGTAGCCTCCTTTAAGTGATTTGCGGAGTAGAAATACAGCTGAGGATGTCATTCAAAAAACTACAACTTCGTAGATTTTCTTTTCTGAAGTAAACGATTATTTCCTTAATTCCTGCCAAGATTTTCTTTTGAATTCACAAATGTTAACTTGGACTGACTCAAAGAGAAAATATTTATCAGCATTGTGTTTACGTTGCTTCTGATGGTGGGCGAGTGTGTCGTCCACTTGTTATAGCCGATAAAGGAGTATCAAGGGTTAAACAACATCACATGAAGGAATTACAGGTAAATGTGTTATACGCTCCCAGATTCATTAGTACTTGTCTAAGTGGTGAGTTAAAGACATTGGTTGACCGATTTATATTTTCTTGAAGGATGGGGTTCGCACTTTTGATGACTTTATCCGTGACGGTTTGATCGAGTATCTTGATGTCAATGAGGAAAATAATGCATTGGTTTGTGCCAGTCTCCGTTTTCTCTAGATGTATTATATTCTATTGCACCATAGGCAGCCAAGAATGATTCACTGTTCCTTTTCGTTGTTTTAAGATTGCTTTATACGAGAGTGATGCTACGTCGGAAATGGCAGAAACGGCAGAAGCTGCCAAGATAAGGGAAGGCACAACCCACATTGAGATTGAGCCTTTCACCATCTTAGGTGTTGTTGCTGGTCTTATCCCCTACCCTCACCATAATCAGTCACCTAGAAATACTTATCAGGTTTGTATGTCTAGACAATCTGACGTAAGATGCTGCAATTTTTTTTTTTTTTTGGCATCTCGTTATTAGTCCTGTTACATTGTATGCAGTGTGCTATGGGAAAACAAGCTATGGGAAATATTGCTTACAACCAGGCAAGTCCTTTTATACTCTCCATATCATTTCACTGAGGCAAGCCTACTGCTTTCCAGTTTTGGTGACTTAATTGGATCAGTTGTTGCCTATTGTTCTATCTTAGATCTTGCTTAATTAAGTTGGTTATGTGAAGTCTAATTACTTTAACGCCTTTATCTTCTCCATTGCATCGTGTTCTAGTATATCTTGCTCTCTCTCAGGCGCTGACTGTTGTTTTTTTTTTTAAATCGTTGTATTTAGTTAAATCGGATGGACACATTGCTTTACCTATTGGTGTATCCTCAGCGACCCCTGTTGACAACAAGGACTATTGAATTGGTAAGCTTCTTTGCTCTAATAGGGATGTGTTAATACTATGGTACTAAAAAACTATGCTTGTTAACAGGTTGGATACGATAAACTTGGAGCAGGTCAAAATGCAACAGTTGCTGTGATGAGTAATACCGGATACGACATTGAGGATGCAATAGTGATGAACAAAGCATCCTTGGATCGTGGTTTTGGCCGTTGCATCGTTATGAAAAAGTATGTAATGGATTTCTCTTTGAGGCAAAAGTCACGTCCTTTGAAACATCGTCACTTACATTAACTATTATTGCTTTTTGCGTTGTATTGTCATGTGAAACAGAATTGTTGCGACGTGCCAGAAGTATGGTAACGATGCAGTAGACAGAATACTCAGGCCACAAAGAACAGGCCCAGACGCAGAAAAGATGCAGGTAGTACATATGTTTGCGTGTGTCCTCAATTTTACTCGTCTTGCAGAGAGATAAAGCACAATATGGTTGTCGCTTATTTGAAGTTCAGTTTTTTTTCTTTCTCAAAATAATCACTTCATTAACAAGATTAGACTCTGCATAGAACTTACGACATATCTGGCATAAAATCTCCTATTCTGTGCTTAAAGATGGGAACTTTTATTGTGCTTAGCCAAAAGTAGTGATAGTGTCCGAATGTAGGCATTTTCCTTCTCTTTATTTCTGGTGTGCTTGACTGTGGCCTTTCCCTCTGCGAGAACATGTTGAATATGCTTTAATTTTGACTATTTTTTTCTCTTTAAGATACTGGATGATGATGGAATTGCTGCTCCAGGGGAAATTATTAGACCGAATGATGTCTATATAAATAAACAAATCCCTGTGGACACTAGAGACAACATTACATCTCCGCTATCGGATAGGTATCCCACTAACTTCTCCCCATATACTGTATGATCATGATTTTTTTTTATATAATTGTAAGCAAAGCTGTACAATCTGTTGTGCAATTTTCAGTCAATATCGTCCGGCAAGAGAGTATTTTAAAGGTCCTGAAGGGGAGACGCAAGTAGTCGATAGAGTTGCTCTCTGTTCTGACAAGAACGGCAATTTATGCATAAAATATATTATCCGACATACTCGTCGACCAGAGGTGAGAATTTTTGTCTTCAATACTGTTATCTTTCTGACCCTAAGCCTCATGTTCTACAGTCTTAATCTTGTCTTGGTCTGGCTTGTATTTAGCTTGGCGACAAGTTCAGCAGTAGGCATGGACAGAAAGGTGTATGTGGTACAATCGTTCAGCAGGAAGATTTTCCATTTTCTGAGCGCGGAATTTGCCCTGATTTGATCATGAATCCTCATGGGTTTCCAAGGTTATAAAATATTCTACATAAGATTTTCTTTCTATTTATCTGTGCACGTTAGATGCACCTTTTAATAGAGTAGAGCCAAAAACAAATTCTTTCATTTTGTGTATGAGAGTGTGTGTGTGTGTGTGTGTGTGTTGTTGGTGTGTGTATTTGGTGCCTCTTGTGGAGGTTTGCTTTGTCGTTATCCTTGCATTGCCCCAACTATACACTTTTCCAGGATATAGACAAGTAACAATGGTTCTCCCTGTTAGGACACATTCGTTTTCAATTCCGGTACCCAACTTGAATCATGTTTATCCCTTAGTCCAAAATTTTGGAGCTTCATCTGAAGTTTTTGATTACTTGACATTTTGTAGTATAACTTGGAGAAATTATTAACATCTTTCTTGTCACAGTCGTATGACAGTAGGTAAAATGATAGAACTCCTTGGAAGTAAGGCTGGGGTTTGTTCTGGTAGATTTCATTATGGTAGTGCTTTTGGAGAAAGAAGTGGTCATGCTGACAAGGTTGAGACTATAAGGTACTTTTTCTCTCTTACATATGAGGATTCTTCTTCTATATTCAAACTTTTGTTTTGGCATTTAATGTCGTCGTGTGTTCTATCATATCAGTGCTACCCTTGTGAAGCATGGGTTTTCCTACAGTGGGAAGGACTTGCTATACTCAGGTACTCCTTTATGTTTCTCCATACATTTCAGAATGTGCAACTATATGCTAAATCCATTCCAGTGTGACACTATCATTTGAATTTTATAAGATTCGGTCATATCATTCTTATTCCGAGGCTATCTATGGTTTGTGGTTCCTTCTTTGTGCATCAACCTGACGACCTTGAGAGTCTCACAGGTCTCAGTGGCGAGCCATTACAAACATACGTCTTTATGGGGCCAATATATTACCAGAAACTGAAACACATGGTGAGGTTCCTCTAAAACTATCGAAACCGTTTTTCGGTTTTGTAGTGACAATCTTTTTTTCTAAATGTCAGAGTGTTTATTAGTTGCGTCGGTAAAATTAAAATAAACATGAAATATTTTTTGTAGGTACTGGACAAAATGCATGCCCGAGGGAGTGGACCCCGTGTTATGATGACAAGACAGCCTACTGAAGGAAAATCTAAAAATGGAGGTATGTGTGTTAGGAGATCTTGTAGATTACGAGATCGAGTCGAAAGGAAAGTTAACAGTTGTGTATATTTCTCTATTGTTAAATAGTGTAAATTTTCTATTATCACATATGTAAAAAATTTGTTAGTCAAGTTATGCTTTGTATGAGAAAGCTTATTGGCTAAATCAATAAATCTGAGAGAAACCCTTTTATACTTCAAAGGTTATCTCCAAAATCTATCAGTGTGTTTGAAACCCTCTTAATTATCTGTATCTTCACTCTGAAGTTTAACCATATAAGTTCTCTTCTCAATTGTGTTTCTAATGCTGCTTCAGGTTTACGAGTGGGAGAAATGGAACGAGATTGTCTTATCGCTTATGGGGCCAGCATGTTGATCTATGAGCGGCTCATGATTTCTAGTGATCCTTTTGAAGTTCAGGTAATAAATCATAATGCACTATTTTCACTATTTTGATAAGTGGCGAATCCAGTGAAATCATTCCAACAGCTTCTGTCTTGTATGAAAGATATCACTTTTTTTTTATCTTTGAAAGGGATTGTAAAACACATATGTGATAACGCTAACAAACATTTTTATTATGCAGGTTTGCAGAACTTGTGGTCTATTGGGATATTACAATTACAAGCTGAAGAAGGCATTTTGCTCAACTTGTAAAAATGGTGATAACATTGCTACTATGAAACTCCCATACGCATGCAAGCTCCTCTTCCAGGTAAAACGCTTTATCCACTGATTTTCGCCTTTTTGGTCTCAAGTTTTTGCCTCCCGAACTGAAACTCTCTACTTCGTCCCCTTTTGAACCTTAAATGCAATTTCTTACTGAAATTGTTTTCAGTTCTACTGTTATGTTTGTGGTGGGTCTAACACCATTCATAAAGCTCTACTTTTCTTCTGGCTTGTTTCTGATATATATATTAACTCTCTTCTCTTTCTTTCCGTGCAATTCATGGTTACAGGAACTCCAGTCGATGAATGTTGTTCCGCGTCTGAAACTCGTGGAGGCTTATTGATCTCAGGGAAATGTTGTCAAAACTCTGAAGATTGTTTTTAACTTTATTATGATAGAATTTGAGACGTGGCTTTTGATATTCTAATGTACAAGCCTTCGAGGTTGGATCGTATTTTTGTAAACGTCCTGCAATTTTGGTCTTCTCCTTTTTGGACGTTTAGATGAATAAGAAATAAAGAATCATATGTTTCTGTTGCATTTTCTGTTCTCTAACTTTGAAATTAACAAATCACGAGACTATCTCCATTGTTACTCTATAAACATTGCCTTCATCAAGATAGCACAACCTAAGAGAATTATAGCCGCAAGGAAAAACAGATTTTAGTGCATAAAATATAGAAGCATACAAACTAAGTTATTATATCTAATTACAAAAGAGATCCAAAACCTCTTCAAATACAAATATCTTCAGATTCCACAAGGTGGAAATATCATGATATACACTTTTGTTGTCAATGCAAGCAAAGTCAAGCGACAATGTCAAGAGAAGAAGCAAACACATAAAGTAAGAAGAAGAAGAAGAAGCAGCAAACACATAAGGTCTCGGATGTTTTCTACTATGTGACTAACCAAGAGAGATCTCTCTTAAGCACAACATGATGAATTCACTGCCGTAGCTGCTGGCCCGTTTGGGAGAACCATTCCTGTTGGGTTTTCTGCTGGCTGTACACGTGGTAGCCTTTTCGCTGTAGCGGTTGGAGCAAGAAATATTGAAAGGGAATTTAGTCTTAAAGCAAACATTAGTTTGTAACTCGTTTCTTGAATTTAAAAATGACTCACCGATTTCGTAGAATATGTCTTTGACATTTGTTGCAGTCTTCGCTGAGGTTTCCATGAAGAAAAGGCTGTTCTCTTGAGCATATTGCTCTGCTTCCTGCAAATGACAAATAGTGTGATTATCAAGAACTACTTAGCAACACAACTCATTGATGCAAAAGCTGAGTCCATAGTTGGCATCAGTTTAATATCGTCCCAAAAATATGAGTTGGCATTTTTCCCGGTACTTCTAATTCATCGAAACGGTTTTGGCAATAACAGAGAAAATCAGACAGAACAGCTTAACAGGAGAGGAAGATTTGCTTTACCTCTGCAGACACTTTCCTTGCGTCTAATAAATCAGCTTTGTTTCCAGCAAGGGCCATCACCATATTAGGGTTGCCTATTCACACGACAGCAACAAAACAAGAATAGAGAGTCAGATCCTCATTACCGCTACTAAGCATCACCAATACTAGAAACTAGATATCATAAACTAGCTATATATTAGCAAACGAATAGCCACCGATTCCTTACCCTGTGCCTGCAGTTCCTGCACCCATTTCTTCGCCCTCTCAAATGACGCCTGTGACAATAGAAAATAAGTTAAGCAAACCTAAAAGTCCACAGCTGATCAAGAAAGTAAACACGTTCGTGACGGGATTGTGAATTCGTACTTGATTTGTTATGTCAAAGACAATAATCGCAGCAGCTGCACCCCTGTAGTACATTGGAGCCAAGCTATGGTAACGTTCCTGACCCGCTGTGTCCCAAATCTCAAACTTCACAGTTGCATCATTCACAGCCAGTGTTTGAGAGAAAAAAGCTGCGCCTATGGTTGATTCCTGTTAACACAACAAGTATCAAAACTCAAGAATCAAGCCACAGAAAGTGCGATCAAGATCTCCAGAGAGACTACTAGAGAATTTCCCACCAACCTGGAATTCAACAAACTGATCTTTGACAAACCGCAACACAAGGCTTGATTTTCCAGCACCAACATCTCCAAGTAACACCTAAAGGACTTAACAAAGTTAAGCACCAAAACCAAAATAAAAGGAACAGAACAGAATTGCCTTCTGCTACAGAAGCTAACAAAGAGACCATATATAACACGGAAGGTAATTGATAATCCAAGAAATATACAACTTTTACTCCAAACCCTAGCTTTATACTGATAAAACATTCAATTTCAGAAACTAGGAAGAAGAGAAGAAGTATTACGATTAAGATGATCCGATTTCATAATTAGAAATCTGGGTTGAAATTCCCCCAAACTGAAAACAGAACCGCATTCGGAAATCAACGATCCAACCAGAATTCTCCCAAAATATCAGTCGAATTCACGATCATCGTTCACAAAACAGAATAAACAACAAAGAGCCCCTAAGAATACGAATCAGCAACAATTAAAAAATAAACTGACCAATTTCGCGTTGATGTTTTTGTTTCCAGCGCTGGCCATGATTGTTGATCTGAAAGAGTATTGAAAGCTCGAGAAATCGTCTGGTCAAAATATAAGCAAATCGCAGATGAGAAACGCGTTGACAATCGAAAGACGGTGAAAAGTTCCAGAAGAAGAGAAGAGAGAGCGATGAAGCTTCTTCGTCAACAAACAACCAATCTCTCTCTCTCTACCGACGACGAAAGCAAAAAAAAGGCAGAGTAAAACAAAGAAACAAATATTATACGGCTCGTGACGACACGAGACTTATGAGGAAAAACCCCACAAAAGTATAGAAATTATGGAAACCCCCGTATATTTATTTTTATTACTAAATACCCCAAAACAAAAAAGAAGTTTACGGTGAAAGCTAACTAACTAAGTTTTGATGAAATCTTCCAGAATTGGACCAAAATACAATCATTGCCGAAACGAATTCCTACTAAAAAATGATGCTATAGGAAGATATTTGGAAAACGTTTAGCCATGTTAGTAAAAAAATGCAGAAAAGTTAGGCCCTTTTAATCAATAATACCACCTAATAAATAAATAAAAACACACATTAAACATGGTCATATAATGTCAGAAAAGTAAACGTTCAAGGACCTCTTTGTAATAAAAAAATCCGGGGTCACTTGGAAATCACAGGCTGACAAGTAAAGCCCTAACAAGAAAGTTTTAGCAAAGTGACAGAGATTTTGAGCTACGAAACCTTTAGAATTAGGTGAAGATGGAGGATTCCATCGCGTAAAATATTCTGTAATTTCTGGTAAATTTCAATTCTTTCGATGGGGTTGCTAAGGAAAGAAACTATCTTGATGAATCTTCAATAGCTCTGGATTTTGCCCTGGGTTTTAGGTTTGGTGTTTGATCCCTCTCTCTTGCCTTTAGATTTATAGGGTTTGCAATGATGGTTCTCACATTTCTTGAAAAAGTAGAAAAGATTGCTCATTTCAATATCTGCCTCGCGTTATCCTCCATTGCTCATCAAAACCAAGTTTCAAGGTCCAAACTTTCTCATGTTTACAATACAGTCCGGTGTTTTCAAAGTAGTAGATTTGTATCTGGGGATAAAAAATCTTCTTTAAGGCATTGGTCTCAGTCACCCACGCGGGTTTTTGGCAATCGGGTTTCACGATCTATGAAGAATGAAGCTCAAAAAGCTCTCTTGGATTACTTGCATAACACTAGAGCTCTTAGTTTTGTTGATGCAGAGCATATAAGTAATAACTCCCCTCGTTATATTAGGGCTTTATTGTCCAAGATTGATACTCGTAAGGAGGATATATCTCGGTCTTTGGCTAGGTTTCTAAGGTACAATCCCATCAACGAGTTCGAACCATTTTTCGAGAGTTTGGGTCTGCGTCCATCTGAGGTTTCGCGTTTTCTCCAACGGGACATGGCGCTTTTGAGTGACGACGGTGTCATGTTTGAGAATTTCCGTGTCCTTAGCAACTATGGTATACCGCGTAGCAAGATTGGCCGTGTGTATAAAGAAGCAAGAGAGATTTTTGGATACGAGGATGGTGTTTTGGCATCAAAACTTGAAGCTCATGAGAGCTTGGGTCTTAGCAAGCCTATAGTCATTAAGCTTGTTATTTGTTGCCCGTCTCTTCTGGTTGGTGAAGTTGATTGTGAGTTTGTTTCTGTGGTCAATAAGTTGAAGGGATTAAACATAGGATGTGATTGGCTTGGTGGGTATTTGTCGGATGGAAATACATATAACTGGCGCCGGATTCTTGAGACAATGGAGCTTCTTGATAAGTTGGGGTTTAAAGAGGAGAAGTTGAGTAGTCTTTTGAAAACGTATCCAGATTTGGTGGGTGAAACTTCTGGGAATAAAGCTTATGTTATGTTTGATAAGTTGCAGAAAGTGGGACTTGAGATGAGTGAAATCGATAGGTTAGTGATTGACCACCCAGATATGTTATTAGAGATCTCTGTGAAAAGAATTTTGGAGGCTTTGAAATTCTTGATACGTATCAGAATGGAGAGGCAGTTTATCGTTAGGTTTTTACTGCAGCACATGAAGCTTATCTGTTCATCACCTCTGGTAGGACCAAAAGCTGTTTATATGAGGTTGAAAATCGGAAGAGACGAGTTACATGGGATCATTAAGGAAGATCCTTTGAAATTGTTCACTTTAGCTTCTAAGACAACAACAGATAGAAGAATTGAACTTGATTCACTGGATTTGAGGAACGCAGAGAAGACAGCATTCTTGTTGAAGCTAGGATACGTAGAGAATTCTGATGAGATGGTGACTGCTCTGAAGAAGTTCCAAGGGAGGGGAGATGAGCTACAAGAGAGATTTGATTGCCTTGTGAAAGCTGGTCTGGACTACAATGTGGTTACCGAGGTTGTTAAGCGGGCTCCTCATATACTCAGCCGGCCTAGCCATATCCTAGAAAAGAAGATCAATATTCTAACAGATTATTTAGGTTATCCAGTTGAAACTCTTATTGAATCCCCAACATATTTGTGTTATAGTATTGAGAGAATACATCAGAGATTCTCAATGTATATTTGGTTGAGGGAAAGAGAGGCAGTAATACCGAGGCTGACACTAGGCACTATAATCGGTATTTCTAATACCAGGTTTTTGGCATACTTTGTTAATAGCCACCCTGAAGGTCCAGCTGCTTGGGAAAGTATAAAGAAAGCATCTACCTAAGGTTAAGTTTAACCCGTTAGTTCAGCTTTATATCATTATCTTTAAGTCTGTTGCAGATATCTTTTGTGTTATAGTATTTTTCACCTAAATCAAAAGCTCAATTATTGTGCTCAGGGCCGGTTAGTAACATAGCATTTTGATTCATTGCGGTGGAGAGAAAAGAATATATGTTGATCATCGTGAAGCATTTTCAACGTTGAGTTCTGTAACCCATGTTCATAAGACCCACTAATGGAACAAGGAAGGACTTGGGGAAAGCGGAAAGAACAGAGATTCTCCTTGAGTATAGCTAATGTTGATTCACTACTGAACTCAGTGAGGTGATTCTTCGACTGGTCTGGAAAGGTCAGCAATTGTTGACTTCTCAGCCCGTCCTTCGTTTATACCATCTCTTCTATGGCTACCAAAAGAAGGAAAGGCACACCGGACATACTTCTGAGATATTATGATGCAACTTGAAATGCTCTCTTTGTTGAAAGAGCATTTAGCATTGATCAGGACCAAAGAGAACAGCTAACAACTATTTAATGGGGCATACTTGTGACAGTTCTTGTCCAGAATGCAATATTATTACAGGTTGTTTGGAACAATGGCTTTTGTCCTTTACTCTTGGCCACGACTAGTCCATCTCTTGCAACTATCTAAAGATATCTATGACAAAAGACCATGTGTTTGTGGGATTTCTTCCTTGTTTTACTTTCAGCAATCTGAGAGTCTCTTCTAAGATTTAAAAATTTAAAAATGTATACCAGAAGTATCAAGAACAAAAGGTTGCATATAGTTAGTATGTTTTGAGTTGATAAGCATCCCTAATGTTACTGTTGTTACAACTAAACTATCCACCCCTCTTTTTATTACAACTGAACCTAAAGTATGAAATCTACATAACACCCAAAAAAAGAAAAACTTTTCAACAAAGATCTCTAATCACATTTTAACTTCATAGTACAGTTTCATGTAGAATTCTTCAGGCCATCTCTTGAAGAATAGGAAGAAGAAGAAGGAGAGGATGAAGCAGAGAGACAAGATCGCGCAATCTTAGATTCTTTGTCTTTGCTATACGCCTTTTGGACATCATCCTTAAGCTCTCTATATCTCATTCTCTTCAATCTTCTCTCCTGTGGAGATCCCTTCGCAATATGTACATCATCGAGAAGGTCTTCGTCTATGTACTCCTCCATGTACTTATCTAGAACCTCTGAGCCATATGGAAAATATCGTCGACCGGTCTCAACTGCATTGTGAAACGTGTAGTAAAGTCAGTCATTAGAAAAAGAACAGAAGAAGAAGAAGAAGAAGAAGAGTCGCTCACACACACAAAGAGCAAAGCTTCTTTTACCTGTTTTCATTAGAGCCTCCATACGAGTAAGAAGTCTTTTGGTTTGCATATGAGGAGTTTCGTTTAAATCAACCTGACTTAAGTTTCCACTTAACCCATTTGAAGGTGGAGGAAGACCCGTGAACTCGCTTGTTCCTTCTACATTAGCAATGTCCATAGCCACTTTAGCTTCTGTTGGAAAAAACAACTGAGCAAGCCCCACTGCAAAAAAATTGATGCTTTAACAAAAACGTCACAAAGATACAGAAGAAAATGGCCAATTTATCTGTCAATTACCTCTCTTTTCTAGGTATAACAGTCTCATTTGAAGATCTTCAGGCATGGAAAGGGAACACATTGGTGTATCCGCAACCATAGGGTTCCTCCTGATTTCTCTTTCCAAGAGATCTATGCATAACCGAGCTTTACTAGCTTCCCGCCCTTTTGCTGCTTTCGTATGATAATCCTTTGGAGTTGTCAATCTTCTACATATATTAACCGCACTGCGTCCATCACACGTGAAATCAGACGCATTTGCACCTTTCTTGAGAAGCGAAATGATGATCGAAGGCTCTCTACGCATCGCAGCAAGATGAAGAACCGTGTAACCTCGGGAATTTCTGTAGTTCACATCACCCATATCGAGAGTTAGAATCTCTGCAACAACTTTTGGATCACTATACACCACGGAGTAATGCAGACCATTAGCTTGGTCTAGAGTGATATCTGACTCAGTCAAAAGAAGCTTCACAAGCTCAATGTCATCTGAATCCAACGCCTTGAGGATTTTCCCGATTCTCTCGACCATTTTATCCGAGACCTTGAGAGTGTTGTCTTCGTCTCGTGGAGACTTTAGACGAATCTGTTTGATTCTCTCTGCTACTTCTAAAGGAACCTCCTTCTCGATACAGAACCTGTAGAGATCTGACCTCGCCACTCTCTCGATACATTGATCAAGAAGCTGAGTCAACTTACAGTTGAAAGCAACCAAAAGAATCGGAAGAACATTCTCAACCAGAGACTTCTCCACAAAGTTACAAAGCCGCCGCTGCAAACACACAATATAAAAGCAGAAACCGTTAATCTCTCATTGATGTCTCTGAATCAAGAAAACAAAGAGAAAGCAAAATTTTTTCTTTTCAAACCTGAAAAGATGAAACTAGCTCTGGTATCTGGAGAACAGATGAAGCATACAACAACTCAACAACGAAATCAATGGCAGGTCGACAAGAGTCATGAGCACAAACCGAATCAACACAAGTCGAAACCTCCAAAGGAAATGGCTTTAGCCTCCCAGTGTAGATATAACTCAAGAAATACAAGAAAGCTTCATGCCCAACAGCTCCATAAGGAAACAACTCTTTCAAATGGTACTTTGGTTTCTCAAGTTTCGAACTTTTCTTTTCTTTCTTGAACAATTCCAGGAAAAACTTGCTTCTTGCAGCTAGAATGCATCTATGAACACCAACTGGAACACCATCGACAATGATCTCTGCATCTGTGTAATCGCAGTCTGGATTACTGAGAAGCTGCTCAAGATTGGTGCTGAGCTTGGTAAGACTAACAACTTCGAGATTAGAAGCTGAGCTTGGTGAGAAATGATCAGACCCAATAGAGACATTAGAGAAATGAGAAGAAGTGAAACTTAAAGATGATGAAGGCTCAGTTAAAGTAGCCATTTTTTTTCTGCAGAAGTTATCACTCAAAAGCTCTGTTTTTGATCCATGGAGATCAAGATTTCAAAGTCTGAAGATCGATTTCAGATTCAAAAGCCCTAAATTTACATTTCGAATAGGAAAGTCAATCAAACCCAACAAACCCAGAATCAAAACGTTGGAAAAAGGTAGAAACTTGGGATTTTGAACTATGATCTATACAGACAAAATCGAAGAAAAAGTAGCAAAATTTACGACAGAACATTACTCTTGCACCTCCGAATCAATGTACCAACAAAAAGTCAAAAGGAAAGAGGAAACCTTTGGAGAAAGATTCAAGCAAAACTGGGGGGAAAATCCCTAAAACATCTGAAAAACGAAGGAACAGAGACTGAAGAATCCAAATCACGGACTCGAGATCTGCACAACCGTGAAACTAAGTCGATGATAAGATCAAAGAGAAGGCAAATGGATGGAGGAAGGAGGAACGAAATTGGTATCTATCAATAAAAAGGAAGAGAGAATTTAGGAAAAGTCAAGAAAGAAGAGTTATTTAAAGGACATAAGAGAGTTTGAGAACAAAGAGGACACAACAGGTGAAGTGATGGTGAAAGAAAGAGACAGCTTCAATGTGAAGACGAGAGGAAACAAAAATTAATAAAACTTAATTATTTCGATTTAATAATGACGATTTAAGCATAGATTATAAATAAAAACATGGTCGAAAAAAATGCATAAAGAAAGACTCAAATGAAAGTTGACAAACAGAAAACAAGGACTGGAAAATCCGTGTGTGATGTCATAGATTTGCGTGTATGACGCTAACCCAAGATGGTCACATTTCACTTTTTATAATATAGTATTTAATCAAATATTTACGTTAATCATATTTACAATCGTATGGTGGAGAATCAAAGTATAGCACCAAAGTTTTATATAATGAAGGTTATACAAAAGTTTTTGCAAGAGAATCAAACGATAGCACCATAGTTTTGGGTTTTTATCATGAAAGTTTTACAAAAGTTTTGGAGGAAGTAAAGATAGAATATAGACGTAATTATTATGTGAAAGCATTTTTCAGTTAGACCAATAAATTAATGACCATATATAGCGTTTTCTGGTGTGTCATTAATCTTCATATTAATAAACTATAGATGTAAATATTTGAAAACATATCTTAGTAGACTTATTAGTTTTTAGCATAGGATATTGTAGCTAGATTTTTAAATTGATTTCAGCTTTGTTGTTTACGTTTATCGGATATTAGTTTAGTTATACAAAGTTGTTATATACTAATGCCGTCACAAGAAATTGCCGAAGTCAAAAAAATAATATAAAAGAAAGAGCCCATCGTCACGAGTGATGACGGAACTAACGTCAGCAAATGCGAACGGCATATGATGTGGAATGTGGGTGCTGTGATGTGATGACGTGGTGAATAATAATGTCAGTTTCGGAAAAAGTAGATAAATCATAAAATTATGGAAAGTGATAAGAATAGCTAGTCGATTTCGAAAAAAAAAAACAAAATAATAGCTAGTGGGTCTAATATGTTTCAATTTTTTAAAAAAACCTTTAAATCTGTTTCAATAATTTTTCTCTCTATTTTGCACAATTGAATAAGGTTAAAATGTTTTGAAATATCACATAGTTTTTTACTCTACTAAAAAAAAATTATTAGTTAAACTGAAAAATTTTACGTTTCTTTACGTTTTATATAAGAATTTAAAAAAATGCCACTCTAAGTTTCTGTAAAAATATATTTCTCTTTAATCTTATCCTTGAGTTTTTAATAGCTAATTATCTATACTTTGTTGAAAAAAACTATCTAAAACATTTAACTTGACAACAAGAAAAAAAAGAAAAAAAAAACTTGACAAAACTAAGAAAACTTTTTAAAAAAAATTTTGATAAGGGTTAAAATCTTCGAATTTCCATGCAAATATGTGCTAAACTTTTGCTTAATTTAGAAAAGAAACAAAACTATTCTTTTTTGTCAACTTCTGATTTCATTAGATAAAACATTACAATGCACATAATAAAAGCATTATAAGGAACAGCTGATCGCAGACGTTACAGAGGATGAAATTAAGAAAGTACTATTTTCGATGCAGAATAATAAATCTCCAATAATAAATTTCCGGGACCTGGCGGATACACTACATAGTTTTTCAAAGGGGCTTGGTCAACAGTTGGACATGATGTAACGGTGGCAGTGCAATCATTTCTCCGAATTGGTTTTATGCCAAAGGGAGTAAACTCAATTATTCTGGCTTTAATCCCCAAAAAGAAAGATGCAAAGGAGATTGAAAGATTATCGTCCAATATCATGTTGCAATGTTCTCTATAAGGTCATTTCAAAAATTGTGGCGAACAGACTTAAGAAAATCTTGCCAAGTATCATGCTCCTAACCAGTCAGCTTTTGTAAAGGATCGTTTATTGGTTGAGAACGTACTACTTGCCTCCGAGATAGTGCAGGACTATCACAAAATTGCAGGTCTCTCACTCTGCGCCATGATGATTGATATAGCTAAGGCTTTGATATTGTGCAATGGGATTTTCTCTTGAATGTTCTCAAAGCTTTGAGCTTCCCTGAGAAGTTCATTCATTGGATTCGGCTTTGCATCTCTTCGGCTTCTTTCTTTGTTCAGGTTAACGGTGAACTAGCGGGCTATTTTCAAAACTGTCGAGGGCTTAGACAAGGATGTGCACTTTCTCCATACTTATTCGTTCTGTGCATGAACGTTTTGTCGAAGATGTTGGACCGAGCTACAGTTGAGCAAAGGGTGGGATATCATAAAAACTGCTCGAGGATGAAGCTAACCCATTTATGTTTTGCGGATGATTTGATGGTGTTCACTGATGGGAAAGCACGGTCTATATAGGGCATTGTAGACGTCTTTGATTGTTTCGCAAAGGCCTCGGGACTAAAGATAAGTTTAGAAAAGTCTACAATATTCATGTCAGGAGTTTCAGAGACAAATCGGGATATGATCACCAACAGGTTTCCTTTCACTATTGGCGAATTACCGGTGCGTTACTTGGGGCTTCCCTTGATGTCGAAGAAGATGTCTAAGGCTGGCTATGCTCCTTTGGTGGCAAAGATACGACAGAAAATGAGTTCATGGACTGTCAGGCACATCTCCTTTGCTGGACGAGTGCAACTTCTAATTTCAATTATCTCGGGCCTGATTAACTTCTGGATGTCTACTTTTTATCTCCCAAGGAGTTGTTTAAAGGAGGTTGAATCTCTCTGCAGTGCTTTCTTTTGGTCTGGGCCAACTTTGAGCACTAGGAGAGCAAAAGTTTTCTGGATTGATGTATGTAGACCGAAATGTGATGGGGGTTTGGGAATAAGATCTTTGGAAATCGCCAATACAGTTTGTTGTCTTAACTAGTATGGAGGTTGATATCGAATTGCTCTTCATTATGGACAAGGTGGATTCAACAATATTATTTGCGTGGTATGTCTCTTTGGTCGCTCCCTGCTGCCCATAATCAAGGCTTCTGCTCTTGGATTTGGAAACAACTGCTTAAGTCAAGATCTTTGGCTCAGGCTTTTCATCGGGTAAACGTGAATAATGGAGAAGATACATCTTTCTGGTTCGATGAATGGAGCTCTATGGGGCGTCTAATAGATGTTGCAGGAACTCAAGGTTTTATCGGGATGGGGATATCAGTTCAATCCTTACTTGCCGAGGTTTGGAGAACGCATAGACGGAGATAGTATAGACGAGATGATTTTAACCATATCGAAGATGTAATTGCTGAAGCAAAAGTGAAAAGAAACCAGGGTGAAGATCAGGCTCTTTGGCGTGGGAAAAATGATACGTACAGACCCTCCTTCTCTTCAAAAAACACTTGGCAAAATCTCAGATCACCAACTACGAGGAAGGCGTGGAGCTACATGGTGTGGTTCCAAAATGCTACGCCTAAGTTTGCTTTCATTACTTGGCTCGCAATGTTGAACCGGCTGTCAACAGGGGAATGCATGGCTCGCTGGGGGCAAGGTCTGGCTACCTCATGTGTTTTCTGCTCTGCTCCGATGGAAACGAGGGAACATCTCTTCTTTACATACTCTTACTCAAACCAAATTTGGCGAAGTCTGACTAGAGGGCTTCTCCGGGATCAATACACGCATCAATGGAATGAGGTAATCTCTCTTCTAACATCGTCAACTCTGGCAAGAACAGAGTTGTTCCTCTCGAGGTATGTTTTTCAAGCCGCTTTGAAAATGGTGTGGAAGGAACGCAATGGCCGTCGCCATGGTGAAACTCCAACTGCTGCAAACGCAATTGCACATATCCTTGATAAGGCAATTCGCAATCGTCTAAGTTCCCTGTGACTGGCTGGAGATATTACACATATCGATGGCATGGTTATCTGGTTTGCTGCTCGTCAAGGAGGATGATCAGCACAGTTTCTCTTTGCTCTGTTTTAAAAAGCTCTGTTTCTGTTTCAAAATTTGTCTTTGGCTTGTGACAAAATTCTTTTCATCCTTTCTTAGTTGATAGCATGTAAAGAATACAGTTTTTTTTTAATCTAAGTTAACATTTTTCAAAAAAAAAAAAAAAAAAATTACAATGCACATAAGTTTGATAAGAGTCATTATAACCAAGAGATTACATAGTTTTTAGAACATAATCGTTCATCCCTTGCGAGGCCATCTGCGACTACATTGGCTTCTCTCGGAACATTATATGAAGAGAAATTGATTAGATGGCGTAGCAAGCGTCCTAATATCATCAATGTAAACTAAGAGCTTGTGATTCAGGTTTTGGTGAGATATAAGGAGAAACTGATTTATATTCAACTGATCGAATAGAGATTTACAATCACCTTTAAAAGTTGCCTTTTTATAACCCAACCGTATCATTTGATAGACTGCATCTCTTAGCACGATAGCTTCTGCTTCAAGAGAACTTAGCGTTGGATTTATAGAGGATGCTCCTTTTACAATAGGGTGATCATGTTCGTCACAAAGGATCCATCCAATTCCAGCTCTTTCTTGATCAGAGTTCCAGGAAACATCTGAAAAAGATGGTAGAGTAGAGAGGTTCCATACTTCCTTGGAGACTCTACACTGGAATATAAGATAATTTATAGTTTCAGGGTGCTCTTCACACAGAAGGCATGTAGTGTCTAGCTTAAATCCTCTCCTCCTTAAAGACTCTGCAACTGATGGCGCAGTAATAAACCTCTCTCGTAATAAATTGTATCCAGACTTAACAGTAAATGCTCCATCAGTTGTATAGGTCCAGCTCGGTAAATCTTCCATTTGGGCTACACTGGGCCGAATTAGCTTAATGAGGGGGAATATCACTTCTTTCCGGGGAGGATGGAAACGTAGCAAGCCAATTTGAATGCTCTTATTTGCCTCCCATTACCCACTAGCCATTGGACTACTTTTCGAATTAGATCATTACCTTGGCAAATGCTTTTCCATGTTTGACTGGAGCTCCTCCCAGGTTCACCATCTGCATTCTTTGGCTTTGTTATTTTGTCCCACACTATCCATGCAATCTTGTGTTTGTCCTTATTAGAAGACTACCAAAAGGTTCTGATTGCTACAGTGATCTGGTGAAGAAGCTTTTTTGGCAGGATAAAGCATGACATAGCAATAGATGTAGGTACTGCTTTAATCAACAAGTCTTTAAAAAATTTGATTGCAGAAACAAAACTATTCTTTCATTATATTTACAAGAAATAATCATTACTCTAAATGATAACTATAAAAAAGAAAAGTAGAATTGATCGGTGTCGGTGATGCTTTCTGCTGAGAAGCTACGCAGACTATACGATTTGGAGTCTATAAAAGTTTACTTCTATAATGATCTCGAAGATATTTGAGCTTTATTCCATTAAAAATGAAAAAACAGAATCATTTGGATGTTGATATAATGATATTTGAGCTTTCGTCCATTAAAAATGACTTGACGCTCGAACCTGGTTTGTTATATTATATGTACTTCAACTTTTTAAAATCGTGTATGAATGAATATACAAATGATTTTTGTTAAAGAGTTTTCGTAAAATAAAAGTAAAACACTAATCAAGTGGCTCTTGTCCAGTGATAGGCAAATTCACCCACAGGATTGAGAAATGTTGCCTGTTGAGTTCAATGCAGCTTCCTAGATAATAATAAATAAAAAAAAAAAAAAGGTAAAACATCAACAGAGTTTTATAAAGACAAACCTATCTCCTTTATTTTTATTCTGCTCATATCATTCTTACAGTTCATTCTATCTACAACCATTTGTACCCAATTTATTGATTCTTCGTAGTACTATTAGTTCATCAATTCTGTGCCAAAATGTGGTGGGAGATGGTGTAAAACGTGTATTTTAGGATTCAAAAATTGCTTTATACTATCGAAGTTAAGAAAAAATATAAATTCTTGTTTTTGTATTCGTTTTTCAAAAATCATTTTTAAAAATCTCGTTTTAAAACAATATGTTTGTTTTATTTATGTCATAATAATCGTTTATTTATTTTTAAAATCAAATCTTTCTATTTGTTATAAAGTTTTTAAATATTCTTTTCTCATAGAATCAAAAATTAACCATTCTTTTTCCTTTATAGAATTTGCTGTATTATTTAGACTATGATTATAGTCCAAATGAGATTGTAAATTCTGCAAAAAAAAAAATGTTATTTTTGTTTCTGTATAAAATTATTGAAATAACCGTCTCACATTTTATAGCTATGCTTGTCCTTTATGCCTTTATGGCAGCATATTAGAAGCAAGTACTTTCTAAATCATCGAATCATTCGAAAAGATTTCACAAAATTCATACAGAAGGGGAAAAAATCAGAATTTGTAAATTCCATTAAATAAAACTTTCAATTTTAGTGAATTTTCTCATTGAGAAGTCACTATAAGATGTTTGCGGAAAAGAGAAAAAGAAATAGGAGTTATCCATTAGATCCCACTGTAGCACTAAGCCACCAAACCAAACTTGACCGTATAGAACTATAACATTAAACCAAACAAGCAAACAAACAAACATAAAACGATTGGAAAATAAGCAAAAAAAAACTAAAAAAATCATTTTATTGAGGTTCTTCTTCGTACAAACATAATAAGACCAAAGCTGAATTTATAAAGAAAACATAATCAGACGACTACATATGTAATATTAATATAAAATCTAAATATAAATAAATGAAAAAAAACATAATAAGACCGTAAGAAACATAATAAAAACATAATAAATCGTTGTGACAACCACTTGATTTGATCAGGTTGATCAGGGATAGTGAATCGGAGAAAACATGGATCTCATCGCATCCATGCCTCTTTGCAACTTCAAGACCTGCCTTCAATGCCCAAGCTTCTGCAAGACCTTAATAAAACTCAAAATGTAATCTAAATATAATAAATGGAAAAATGAAAAAAAAAACAAAAAAAACAAATTCTAATCATGATATAAGCTACTCGGCTTAACAAAATCAATTTAAACAACAAGAAATCAATGGGCCCAAGGGTCTTCCGATTTGGTCTAGCCCAGCTTTAAAGATTTTGAAATTTTGGGTAAGGTTCACTGACATGGAGGCTTTGACCACATGGCCATATCAATTCCCTCACGTCCAAATCCTGTTTCTTTAACATAGCAGAAAATCAGATCTGGTCTTAAACATTCATTCAAATCCTGTGGCTCAGCTATAAACTTCAAAATTATATCAATATAGTACTGTGCTATTGGTTATGATATGGTGACTTGTAAGAAATCATTCTAAATTTCTGTTCTTTTTGCCAGCTTAAAAATTATATCAAATGTTCAAACGACTGATCTAACTGGGAGTACAAATACCTACATACAAAAAAAGTAATCACATGTGATTTAGCAACAAAGATTTTAGAGATGAGAAAAGTCTAAGAACGATGAGACCACTCAAGGTACGGATTATAGTGGACACCATCTTGGTCAGCAGTTCTTGCTCCTTTCCATTTTCACTTATCTTAACACTTTTTTTTCTTATCCTTCACATCACCACCTTTCATATCACTATAATCTGCGTACCTTTATGTCTCCACTTCAGACAAGCTTTGCTCTTTGGTGGTAGCCAAAGGTAGGATACTAGACTAGAACATGATATGGTTCTTCCGGCGATAATATGAGATTAATACACTTTGTCAGTGGCTTTTGAAGGTTTACTTCCACAGTTCCACCAATATACCTCAGCCATATCCAAACTAGTGCGTCTCTATGTGTTCGGATGCAGCTTAATAGAGAAATTTCAACCTCTTATGTGAATAGAGACGACCCGAAACAACCTTGAAATCTACCATTGAAGCAAGGTCAAGCTGGGACAAAGCCGTTTCTGGACTCCATTCAAGCACCACTAGCTAGAGGCACATATGCAATGTGTAAGACGTGACATTTTAATACATGTGATCTGATATTCATCAGCTTGATTGTTCAAATAACTTTTTCTACTCCAAAACAATAGTCCATGTGATGTAAAAAAAAAAAAACATGCACGTGCTTTCTATTTCCAGTTACCCATAAGATTTTATAAAACAGTCGATGTGCTTTCTACTACTCTTACCTTACTACTTTTAATTCATACTTCGTAAAAAACTATTACAGAATTTATATTATAAAATATTACGGAATTCGACTGAGAAACTTTATTTTAATCACGTAATTAACGTTGACTTTACGTTACGATCGAAAGCATGAATAGAGCTTATAAATCCTTGATCGGCGTGAGCCTGGCCAAAAATTCCAAGAATGTACGGATAGGGAATATATGATAGTTTATGGGAATGTATGATAGTTTATATAAAATATTATTTTAGTTACTTATGGTATATAATGGTCTGTTTATATGTATGTTATACAACTTCAAAGTTTTTTTTTTTGAACAGTACTTAAATTGTGTGTATGTTATATACTTGTGTTACACTTTCAGCTATTCTTTTTTTTTTTTTTTCTAAATCATAGTACATCTTATAAATACCGATTAGCTATTTGATGATAATATCTAGACTAGTCTATGTTATCAACAAAAAATTAGACTAGTTTATATATCTCCAACCAAATAAACCTTGTCGTATTTTAATATATTGCACGCATTGAACAATCCAACTCACAAACACACTAGAATTTTAAGAGCATGTTTATAGGGGGCTCTATGTAAGTTTTTTGTTGCTTTTAAACCCAAAAAAAATGAAAAAACCCAACTTTTGTTGAAGTTGGCTCTTATTTCAGACCAACAAGCACCGACTCTTGTGACATTTGTGACAAGTGGTGCGATGGTATTGGTCTCAGAAAGAAAAAAGAGTCTAGGCACATCAATTTATTAATATAATATTAATTAGAGAAACAAGCATGGAATTCTCTCATAAACATGTTCTAATATAGATTCTGATCACAAAAATCACACAATCAGCAAAAATAAAAATATCAATAAAGCATTTGAAAGATATATACTACAGTTAGATTTTCTATTTAGTTTTATAAATAAAAACCCTATAATCATCAAATCAATAAAAATCTCTTAATATCATGAGAAAATAATTGACTCGTGTGTCATGCGGTTTTGTTCTCCGTCGATATAAAACGAATAATAATCCATGTCAATATATCATCACATAAAAATAACCGGCACATTATATATAGACCTATGTATGAGTCGTAAAACATTAAACATACACATTACAAACATTTTATTTTACTACAAACCAGAAACCTAAAAATGGCTATGACCACACAACACATGAATCTAATCTTCCTCGTACTTCTCTTAATATCTTTTGCAATATCTCCGGTGATCTCAACTGTTCCGAAAGAATGCGAAACCGATGCAACCGACTCTTGCATCGACAAAACCAAAGCATTACCTCTCAAAATCATAGCTATCGTCGCCATCCTTGTGACAAGCATGATAGGAGTCATGGCTCCTCTCTTTAGTCGATATGTTCCATTCCTGAGTCCAGACGGTAAAATCTTCATGATCGTCAAGTGTTTTGCATCAGGGATCATCCTAGGAACCGGCTTCATGCACGTTTTGCCCGACTCTTTTGAGATGTTGTCCTCACCATGTCTTGAAGACGATCCTTGGCACAAGTTTCCTTTCACGGGCTTTGTCGCTATGTTGTCCGGTCTTGTAACTCTCGCTATCGATTGGGTTGCTACAGTCTCTACACAAAGAAAGCTGTCCATGACGACGGTGAAGAAAAGACTACTCCGATGATAATTCAAATCGATCATTTGCCTATAACAACTAATAAAGAACGTAGCTCTACTTGCTCAAAACAACTAATGCGGTACCGAGTTATCGCCATGGTTAGTTCTTCATTACAAGCTCATTTAGCTCTTGTTACATGGAAAATACTACATTCCAAATTATTAATTTTCATATGGTGAATGATTATATGTGTTAATTTAGGTATTGGAGCTTGGAATTATAGTTCACTCGGTGGTTATTGGATTATCGCTAGGGGCAACAAATGACACATGCACCATTAAAGGTCTTATCGCAGCTCTTTGCTTCCATCAAATGTTCGAAGGCATGGGTCTCGGAGGATGCATCCTCCAGGTAAAATTATTGAAAAAAAAAACAAAATCTGTTTTAATCTTGGTCCGAAACAATACCAAACGAAACCGTAAAAGCCTAAACAATACTCGCTACGAGACCATAATATTTTTTTTATCAAACTTATAAAGTTTTGAAACATGTAAGTATGTAACATATGATAGAAACATGTAACATGTTGAATAATATATACAACTTTTTTGAACAGGCAGAGTATACAAATGTGAAGAAATTCGTGATGGCTTTCTTCTTTGCGGTTACAACACCATTTGGGATCGCTCTTGGTATAGCCTTGTCGAGTGTTTACACGGACAACAGTCCAACCGCATTAATCACGGTTGGGCTGCTCAATGCATGTTCCGCGGGATTGCTCATTTACATGGCGTTCGTAGACCTTCTAGCCGCGGAGTTTATGGGATCAATGCTCCAAGGAAGCGTCAAGCTTCAGCTTAACTGTTTTGGCGCAGCTTTGCTCGGTTGCGGTGGAATGTCAATCCTTGCCAAGTGGGCTTAGACTCATTTAACATCCTACTTCCAATTTCTCTTGAACTGTAATTATATTTGAGTGAGTACTGTAAACAATATCTATTTTTCTGTATCATATAATGTGATTTTCAAGCGATTGTGCTTTCATTTAAACTTTAATCTGCTCAAATCTGCCAATTAAAATGCGCCCGTAAAACTTAGAAGAACAAAAAACTAATTAATCCATATGTAAATGTATTAAAATACATAATGGAAGGCTTAACAAACTTTCAGGGGTGGTCAGATAAATTGCACTGAAGAAAAAAAATAAAATAAAATTCTGGATAAAGGAATTACGGTCTACCCACCTAGCATGCATTAGCTTTAGCTAGTACTGCTATTTCAAGAATTATTTTTTCGAATTCAAAAAGTTCATCAGAACGAAATATATGACAAAGATTTTCACTTGAAAATTAAGAGAAATTTGCAACAACGACCTGGAGGTCAATTACCGAAGCTCAATGGCTCTAAGTCTCTGTATGCCTCTAAGGCTCTAACAATCAGCGTGCATGTAATACAGAAACGCCAGTTTGATGTAAGTTTTTATCCAACCAGAAACTCTGCCAGCATATATAAAGAGAAATACCCCAAAATAACATAAATATATCCTATTATACATGTATTGAATCAAAATTATCAAGGAGCTAAACTCAATTGGTATAAATATTATTGGTGAAAGAAGTACATATATTGATGTTTTTCAAAAAAAGGGGGAAGCTTTTCTTTTACCTCCATGGGTAAGCATGTAACCAAAAATTATATATCAATTTTAGTTCGAATCTAGTTCTTCATTTACAGCATATTTTATTCAGAGAAAACAATTTGTTTAAAAAAACATTTATTGTCTGTTGCGTCTTCACAAATAACTTTCTATTATAAGATTTATATTGTTCACTAAATTACTTTTTTTCTTTGTCAACGAAAACCTATTAGCCAAAAAAACACTTTTTGTCAACTTTGCAACACATATTAAAAAAGTTTCTCTAACATGAATCACACATCTATTGTATAATTGGTTAAATTTCTGCAAATAACGTCACAAAAATATCTATTAACTTATATTATCCCCCCCCCTCCCTCCTCCCATGTGACCGTACGCTTATACGACTTGAGTAAAGGCAAGATCCGTACAACTCCATATTACGTACGTGAGCAAGATTATTGCAATTTCACCAAACCACAACATAAATAATAATTAATTTGCCTTCGTGTTGTTCTTTTCCGTATTAAGATGAAACATATAAAACGTCAGCAAAATTCCGGCATGGGAATAGCCTGTGTTTCCCTATATAAGACTTAAGTCGTAAGAAGCCATTATAGAACCCACGAGAATACAAAAACAAAAACAAAGAGAAGACTCTAAAACAATTATAATGGCAGCATCAGCTATAACACTCATGAAGCTCTTCCTCTTTGCCCTAGTCCTTATCAGCTTCACCGTATCTCCGGCGATGTCAACGGCGCCAGAAGAATGTGAAGCCGAGTCAACAAACCCATGCGTCAACAAGGCTAAAGCCTTACCTCTAAAAATCATATCCATTGTAGCCATCCTCTTGACCAGCATGATAGGCGTCTCGGCTCCTCTATTCAGCCGATACGTTCCTTTCCTCCATCCAGACGGAAACATTTTCACGATCGTTAAGGCTTTCGCGTCCGGGATCATCCTGGGAACAAGTTTCATGCATGTTTTACCAGATTCTTTTGAGATGTTGTCATCGGAATGTCTAGAGGAGGATCCATGGCACAAGTTCCCATTCACGGGCTTTGTCGCTATGTTGTCGGGACTAGTCACTCTAGCCATCGACTCCATGGCTACTAGCTTCTACACTAGCAAGAACGGTAGTGAAATCGTGCCGGCTGCTAGTAACGGTGATCATGAGAGAGCGAATCCAATGACAACTCATGGTCATAGCCATGGTCACGGGGTTACTACTAAAAATGATGGTGGTTCACAGTTATTACGGTACCGCGTCATTGCTATGGTTAGTACACTATATAAACGCCATTTGAAATGAGATAAGTTATAAAAAATATAATTGACCATTCCATATCATATAATTGATAGGTTTTGGAGCTTGGAATTATAGTTCACTCCGTGGTCATTGGACTATCTCTAGGTGCAACAAATGACACATGCACCATTAAAGGTCTTATTGCAGCTCTCTGCTTCCATCAAATGTTTGAAGGCATGGGTCTCGGCGGCTGCATCCTCCAGGTAAACACAAACTTACATCTTTATTAATGTGTTTGGGTCCGTAAGATATACTACATATTTGTACAAATTAATTAAATGTCAAATACAGATAAATCATTAATGTTTACTAACAAACATTGCAATTGTGAATAGGCGGAGTATACCAACGTGAAAAAGTTCGTGATGGCATTCTTTTTCGCGGTTACAACACCATTTGGAATCGTTTTAGGAATTGCATTGTCTAGCGTATACAGAGATAACAGCCCGACCGCATTGATCACTGTCGGTCTGCTCAACGCCTGCTCAGCAGGGTTGCTCATCTACATGGCTCTCGTCGACCTTCTAGCTGCCGAGTTCATGGGACCAAAGCTCCAAGGTAGTATCAAGCTTCAGATCAAGTGTTTTTTTGCCGCTCTACTTGGCTGCGGTGGAATGTCAATCCTCGCCAAGTGGGCGTAAAAAAACTTGTCAAGCTCTTTTACAATGTACTTTCTATTTCTTGAAACTGTGATTATATTGCAATGAGTATAAACAACTCAGTTTTCTGTAGCATAAGAAAATTACAAATGTGGTTTTCATGCGATTGTGTTTTGGTTTTCTATCTCTCTATTGTAATGTGAGTTCTTTAAATTAAGTTTTCCGTTCTCTATTCTTTTTTAGTAACGTCTATTAGTTTTTGTTGCATTAATTCCGTTCAAAATAAAAAGGGGGAATTGCTAAAAATAGGCCACAATTTAATTCTAAATGCAAAAGTATACCCCAAATTCAACCTATTGCAAAAATAGATCAGAGGGGTAGAGAAATTACCATTATCTCCTACATGAGTAAACAATAAAACGGATGTCTCAATTACGATTATAACCCTGCGAAGTCTGCAAATACTAATGAAGTCTTCTCAGCAGACTAATAAAGAAGTCTACTATATTATTAAATATTATTTTTAAATTTTAAAATTATATAAAAATAATGTAAACTGAAATTTGTTTCTATAAATCAAATGTCAACAAGTATGATCTATAAAAATTATAATTTAATAAAAATAAATCATTTTTAATCATCTAAGATAAACATAAAAAGTGAAAAATTTTAAACTAGGGCTGCACACTTCTTTATCAGTCTGCTCAGAAGACTGATAAAGAAGTCTATTATATTAATAAATCTTAGTTTTAAATTTTAAAATTATATAAAAATAATGTAAACTGAAATTTGTTTCTATAAATCAAATGTCAACAAGTATGATCTATAAAAATTATAATTTAATAAATATGAATCATTTTTAACCATCTAAGATAAACATAAAAAGTGAAAAGTTTTAAACTAGGGCTGCAGACTTCTTTATCAGTCTGCTCAGCAAACTACGGATCGAAGTCTTGTCAAACCAGAATAATTAACCTAACCGGATTTTTTATTTAACATATTATATAAAGAAACTTACCAGTCGTTACCATAAATAAAAAACCCTAGATCACTGTAAAACAGCGCTGCACTCTGGTCTCTCTCACCGCGACTCTCTCTCGCAGTAAGCCTTTCCCGGCGCTCCCCATCTCTTCTTTTCTGTTTCTGATGCATATGTTGTTTCATATATATATCACTACATATATTGTTGCTGCAGATCTCAGCCGGCGTCTTCATCGTTCTTAGTTATCTCTCCAGATCTGTGAGTTATTCGCCATTACATTCTCTGTTTAGTCTGTATCTTATTGTTTACTGGTTTGTCCTTTAAAATTGTTCTTTTGTTCTTTTGTTCTTTTGTCCTTTTGCTTTACTGTTTTTTTAACAGATCTAAGTAAAAATACTTTTTTCACAGATTCCGTGAGCAAGTAAGTAAAAATATTTCGATTTTTTCTTTATTTCAAGATGTACCCTTTTTGTTATTTTGTTGTTTAGCGAGTAAGAAATATTTGTTTGGAAAGTTTGTTTTTGTTGTTTTGTTTTTAGCTGCAAAGTTATTATGTGGTCGTATCTGTTTTAGTTTTTTGTTTGTTAACTGCCAAGTTTGTTTGCTTGATCTCTACAGAGTAATGCCGATAAGCTACACCAACAGCTCATCTTCCAAAGCAAGCTATGACAGCGGGTGTGCCAAAGCTGATGGAGACTTTGGGATACCTGAACGATGCTATTGCGGCCTTCGATGTAGATTGGAAGAGTCTACAGCTCCAGAGACGTTTGGCAGGAAGTTCTATAGTTGCCCTGAAATATTAGGCGAATGTGTATAGTTTTAATGAGGTTTTTCTCAATATGTGTATAGTTTTAATGTTATTCATCGAGTATAACTGAATTTTTCGTTTGTCATATGTGTAGGATAAACCGAGTTACATCTCCAAATGGTGGGATGAAGCCATTGAAGAGCAGCTGACCATTCTTCAAATACGAATTGACAAGCAGAGCGAAAGCATGTTCCGTGACAACCGAACAGCCCTTCTGCAATCATATGAGAATCGGCTGTATGCATTGGAGGATTGCCTTGCTGCAACCGAGAAGACCATTAGCGAGATCGAGGAGTTCATAGGGTTCATTCAGAGTGAAATTGCTGGAGTGAAAGAAGCACTTGCTAATCGAGGTTCTGATATCCTACTTTGTGTTTTTTTAGTTATTTTTGCAGTAATCTCTTGTGTTTTCATGCGTTGGGATATAGAATAGAGGACCAAGAGACTTGTGTAACCTTTAAGTAGACTAGGTGGGATAGAACATATGTATTTGACTTCTATGGTGATTAATGTTGGTGTCGACTGTTGCATATACATTGTTCGTATACTGGGGAATCTATGTGCACTATGTGTATTGTGTACATATGC